ACGGAAAAACCTAGAAAACACAGCTTCTAGCTTCCTTCATTGCCCGAATTGCTCCGCCTCGCATGTGCAGCGACATAAGCGAGATACTTCATGTCCCCTGGGACTTTACGGGCCTGCGTGTGACCAAAAATGCCACTGCCAAAACTATGGAAAATGTTATATAAATGGTTCGTGTCTCTCTGGAATGTGTGCCAGTGGCTGGAGAGGCGTCGCCTGCAGTAGCCGAGCCTGTCCTGCGGGCAAGTATGGCTTTAAGAAGAGCGGCGAAATTAATTGCGAGAACAGGTGTAACTGCCCACAGACCGATGAGTGCAATATCATCCACGGCGGCTGTTCGTTAGCACAGTGTTCCAGCGTCTTGCCCGCCGTGAGACAAAAGTTCGATTGCTTTGAGACGGTGTGTCCCCGACGTAAACTGGGGCTCTCAACGTGTTCGGACACCTGCCACTGCTCACTCGATGCTATCTGTGACTCTGTCAGCGGATATTGTCCAACTCCGGTGTGTACTGGCAAATATGAACCTCCCACTTGCAGCAAAATCACCAACTCTCAGCCAGACTTCTGGCGGGGGATGAGTATTTTAATCACAGAACTCGTGTTGCTCGTTTGGAAAGTTGGCCTGTTTGTATATCTTCGACTGTTGCCCGAGGTAATACGATTATTCAGAGCGGCCAAAAATGTGCTAGCTTCTCACTAAATGTGTAGATGTTAAAGAAACCCATCTAGAAGATCTTGAAGCTCGTCACTAGGATCTTGTTTTTAGTTGACAGCCAAAAACGGGCACAGCAGTTGCCACACGAGAGACATAACATTCACAATATCGCAGAGTTCTGACCTCCTCGGGGACCACATAGAAACGTCGTTAACAAAACATAACCCATGTATTTCTCGTCCTTTTTAGGATGAAATTTTTCGTTGTTGGCAGCCCTACTCTGGCTTTTGCCAGGGGCCGCAATATAGTCTGGTTATAAATATGGCCTAAAGGCTGAACGCGGTTTCTGGGACCTCTGCACGGTGATCCTCACCCACATGGTGGCACATTGTGTCATCGGGTGTTTATCGCTTGTGTGATGTCCTGGTGGGGTAGAAAGTCAGTCAGTCAACATAACCCATTTGTTTTTGCCGATGCTAAAACGTGTACAACTTTATGGCGGACCTCACATGAGGGCATTCATAATTTTTTCATCGCCACGTTATCAGAAAATAAAACATAGAAGATGTGACACGTGAAAAGATGTATTTAAAGGAAGGTGGATGCGTACAACGACAGAAGGTTATAAACAACTTTTTGTCATGGCAAGAGAGGTTGCCAGCATATGGAGCCATATATGTTGAGGGAAAAATACATGCAAAATATGTGAGAACATGATCAGCCATATCTAATGTCTTAAATTTTCTTCCACGGAAGATTGGGACACTCTCAGAATATTTAATCATGCTTGGTGTCGTGTTAGAAACGGAATGGGGCAACTTTGAGATCTTCATCTGCAGGAAAAGGCAGTTTCAGATACAATTTCTGACATCAACACAGGGAAGTGTGCATCCGAGAGAGAGAGAGAGAGAGAGAGAGAGAGAGAGAGAGAGAGAGAGAGAGAGAGAGAGAGAGAGAGAGAGAGAGAGAGAGAGGGGGCGGGGCGGGGAGGGTCATTTAATTGTGTGAGCGGGGAATTTGATAGTGAAAGCAATTCGAACTTGGACTCGTCCAGAGTTTTGGTAACATAGGGAGCATAAGAATGTAAGAATGGCTTTTGTGGGGCATAACATAAAAAAAAGGCTTGGAAACAATGCACTATAGAAGGCATTTTCAGTTATGAAATCTATGTCGCACCAGAGCACACCACTTACCAAGATGAGTGAATGTCTGTCACGTTTGTTTTCCTATTTATTCATGACAAGAAGTTGAATTACTTGTGATATGAATGTTAAGTTAGAAGAACAAAGAATTTGACGTGTGCTGGAAACTATGAGGCTTAGGAATTGTTTTCTTGTTCTGTTTCTAATTTGCCTTGTCGTTCTGCTTCTTCCTCTCCTTCGCATTCACCAGCTGTGAGCTCTAGCGGAAAGTCCTGGGTGTTCGTCCACCTCCAGACTTTAGTCCTACTCCTAAACTCGAGTGTTGCGTGCATATACGTTTTACAGATCTGGCTCATTTCTTTATGCAGACTTTTGGTTTCTTGACTCTCAGGCAGATGTACTCCGACTTCGAAAGATGCTCATATATAGTCGACTCCTACGACCTGCTCGTTGGAGAGGTAGTTGGTCTATTCTTGTTTCCGCACAATGGGGCCACGAGGCTATTTGGCAGGGCTGTTCAACTAAATTGTCTCAGGGGCCAGAATAGGGGTCGTCAGGGGCCAGGATGGGGATCTTCGGGGACCAGAGTGAGGATCGTCAGGGGGCCAGAATAGGGATCGTCAGGGGCTAGAATGGGGATCGTCAGGGACCAGAATGGGAATCTTCGGGGACCAGAGTGGGGATCGTCAGGGTCAGAATGGGGATCGTCAAGGGGCCAGAATGGGGATCATCAGGGGCCAGAGAACTGAGCGCCGGCATAGAAATATCGTTAAACAACTGGTAGGGATTCGCGTGCCGTTAACTAGGCATTGACGGGCCACATTTGGCCCGCAAGCCATTAGTTGAATAACCCTGCCACACTGGAAGCTTTTGTTCTAATAAGGTCCAGTTTTGTAGATATTTATGCCGGTGAATCTTAAGTTGTCATGGAATCTTGGATGGTCTGTGAATCCTGGGTTGACAGTGAATCTAGGAATTTGAGTGAATCTAGAGTTTGGACCTTGGAACAAGAGAAGTCAATTATTTGTGGATATTTATGCCACTGAATTTTTGAATGTCAGTGAATTTTGCAATGTAAGTGAATCTTGGGTTGTCAGTTAATCTTGGGTTGTCACTGAACCTTGGATTGTCAGTGAACCTTGGACTGTTAGTTAATCTTGGGTTGTCAGTGAACCTTGAGTTGTCAGTGAACCTTGGGTTGTCAGTGAACCTTGCAATGTCCGTGCATCTTAGGTTGGCAGTTAATCTTGGGTTGTCACTGAACCTTGGGTTGTCAGTGAATCTTGGAATGTCAGTGAATCTTGGAATGTCAGTGAGCCTTAGGTTGTCAGTGAACCATTAAATGTTAATGAACATGCAAGGGAAAGCTTGGAAGCCGGGAAGATGTGATTTTGGAAGACAGATTTTGTAAATAATTTGTCACTAAATGTCACCAATACAACACTGTGGGATATGAAAGAGCTGACTACTTGGCAGAAACTGAAAGTCTTACAGAACAGCCAAATACATGATGTTCTTATGGGGAAAATCAAACTTACAGTAAGACAGCCATCAGAGCACGCTGGCGCACGGTTCCATCCAAATCACAACGCTGAAGAGGCATTCAGCCTCCACAATGTAAGAAACAGACTAGTATGTTTATGTTTAGACTTCCTACTGGACACAATGGACTCTGCAGCCATATATACAAGTAAGTCAAGATCGGGGATTCAGAACTGCGTGTGTGCCAAAGCACCAGGTAATAGTGAACATGCGCGAACAGACAACCCCTCTACATGCAGTAGAGAGATCACAGGTTTGGTCGTTTGGCATTCCAGTGGAAGCCAAGCTTTATGGGGAGCGGAAGACTTGATTCACACCACAGACTTCATAGGGGACTGTAGGCTTCTCTTGTGAAAACTTCTTGCCGGGGGACGACAAGAAACCTAAACATCACTGTCTGTGGGTAGGGGGATGCTGAAAAGGGGGTCGTGCACTGTATTCAGCAGTGAGAAAGAGACGAGCGTTCGTTGGTCGCAGTGAGAAAGAGACGAGCGTTCGTTGGTCGCAGTGAGAAAGAGACGAGCGTTTGTTGGTTGCAGTGAGAAAGAGGCAAGGATTCTTTGGTCGTACAGTGAGACAAGAGACACTGGGGAATGTGACGGAGACAGGACAGTTCACCAGTGTAGGAGGCAACCCGAGAGAAATGTTGGGTGACTTACAAATATGGCATGCAATAGTATCCAGAACACCAAAGACAAGGGCTTTTTTCTGCACACCTTTATAAGATATAGGTTTTGTATTTTCCCTGTGATACTGTAATAGACACTTTGTAGTTACTACTTTTACTTTTTTAGATACTCTGTTGGGAACCGATACTTTGTTTTCCCTAGAAAAAAAGCCATGGCAATGACTAAGGCATTTGTGGAGTGTCATGAATTTCTTAGCCATTTGATGAGACGTGTCATAGTGATATTGTATTTGAGAGGCACGAGTTTTGTGTCAGTGTTTATTGTCTGTCTTTGTGCTCCAGTTTTTGGCGTCCAGCAGACAAACAGAATTATAATTACATTGGTTAGGTATACACTTCATCTTCTCGTGTTTCTCATTTTACCCACCATCATATTTGATAACAATCATCACCATTGTCTTGCTGTCACATAGGGCTCACAGTCTGTTCCTACATTTCGTTCTGTCCAATGCAGTCCCCTTGATACCATGGACGGATTTCAGTCAAGCACCTTTGGCCTCTGTCAGCAGTGTTCATTTTAGAGTTTCTTGTGGGTGTTCTCGCTTCCTCCGTCACTTTATATCCCATCTTAGTGCCTGTTTGCCCATTTTCTGCTCGTTTCTTGTGAGGATTATTTTACAAATAGCAGTCTATCAATGTGATATTAAGTGACCAGTAGTTGATGACAAGCGTGTCATCAGTCACTTGGTGCTGTGACTAGTACTTGATGACATGTGTGTCATCAGTCACTTGGTGCTGTGACCAGTAGTTGATGACAAGTGTGTCATCAGTCACTTGGAGCAGTGACCAGTAGTTGATGACATGTGTGTCATCAGTCACTTGGAGCAGTGACCAGTACTTGATGACATGTGTGTCATCAGTCACTTGGAGCTGTGACCAGTACTTGATGACATGCGTGTCATCAGTCACTTGGAGCAGTGACCAGTAGTTGATGACATGTGTGTCATCAGTCACTTGGAGCAGTGACCAGTAGTTGATGACATGTGTGTCATCAGTCACTTGGAGCAGTGACCAGTACTTGATGACATGCGTGTCATCAGTCACTTGGTGCTGTGACCAGGACTTGATGACATGTGTGTCATCAGTCACTTGGTGCTGTGACCAGTACTTGATGACATGTGTGTCATCAGTCACTTGGTGCTGTGACCAGTACTTGATGACATGTGTGTCATCAGTCACTTGGTGCTGTGACCAGTACTTGATGACATGTGTGTCATCAGTCACTTGGTGCTGTGACCAGTACTTGATGACATGTGTGTCATCAGTCACTTGGTGCTGTGACCAGTAGTTGATGACAAGTGTGTCATCAGTCACTTGGAGCAGTGACCAGTAGTTGATGACATGTGTGTCATCAGTCACTTGGAGCAGTGACCAGTACTTGATGACATGCATGTCATCAGTCACTTGGAGCAGTGACCAGTAGTTGATGACATGTGTGTCATCAGTCACTTGGGGCAGTGACCAGGACTTGATGACATGTGTGTCATCAGTCACTTGGTGCTGTGACCAGTACTTGATGACATGTGTGTCATCAGTCACTTGGAGCAGTGACCAGTACTTGATGACATGTGTGTCATCAGTCACTTGGTGCTGTGACCAGTAGTTGATGACAAGTGTGTCATCAGTCACTTGGTGCTGTGTTCAGTACTTGATGACATGCGTGTCATCAGTCACTTGGTGCTGTGACCAGTACTTGATGACATGTGTGTCATCAGTCACTTGGTGCTGTGACCAGTAGTTGATGACATGTGTGTCATCAGTCACTTGGTGCTGTGACCAGTACTTGATGACATGTGTGTCATCAGTCACTTGGTGCTGTGTTCAGTAGTTGATGACATGCGTGTCATCAGTCACTTGGAGCAGTGACCAGTACTTGATGACATGCGTGTCATCAGTCACTTGGTGCTGTGACCAGTAGTTGATGACATGCGTGTCATCAGTCACTTGGTGCTGTGACCAGTAGTTGATGACATGCGTGTCATCAGTCACTTGGAGCAGTGACCAGTAGTTGATGACATGTGTGTCATCAGTCACTTGGTGCTGTGACCAGTAGTTGATGACATGTGTGTCATCAGTCACTTGGAGCAGTGACCAGTACTTGATGACATGTGTGTCATCAGTCACTTGGTGCTGTGACCAGTAGTTGATGACATGCGTGTCATCAGTCACTTTGTGCTGTGACCAGTAGTTGATGACATGCGTGTCATCAGTCACTTTGTGCTGTGACCAGTACTTGATGACATGCGTGTCATCAGTCACTTGGTGCTGTGACCAGTAGTTGATGCCATGTGTGTCATCAGTCACTTGGTGCTGTGACCAGTAGTTGATGACATGTGTGTCATCAGTCACTTGGTGCTGTGACCAGTAGTTGATGACATGTGTGTCATCAGTCACTTGGTGCTGTGACCAGTACTTGATGACATGCGTGTCATCAGTCACTTGGTGCTGTGACCAGTACTTGATGACATGTGTGTCATCAGTCACTTGGTGCTGTGTCCAGTACTTGATGACATGTGTGTCATCAGTCACTTGGTGCTGTGACCAGTAGTTGATGACATGTGTGTCATCAGTCACTTGGTGCTGTGACCAGTAGTTGATGACATGCGTGTCATCAGTCACTTGGTGCTGTGACCAGTACTTGATGACATGCGTGTCATCAGTCACTTGGTGCTGTGACCAGTACTTGATGACATGTGTGTCATCAGTCACTTGGAGCAGTGACCAGTACTTGATGACATGTGTGTCATCAGTCACTTGGAGCAGTGACCAGTAGTTGATGACATGTGTGTCATCAGTCACTTGGTGCTGTGACCAGTAGTTGATGACATGTGTGTCATCAGTCACTTGGAGCAGTGACCAGTAGTTGATGACATGTGTGTCATCAGTCACTTGGTGCTGTGACCAGTAGTTGATGACATGCATGTCATCAGTCACTTGGTGCTGTGACCAGTAGTTGATGACATGCGTGTCATCAGTCACTTGGTGCTGTGACCAGTAGTTGATGACATGCGTGTCATCAGTCACTTGGTGCTGTGACCAGTAGTTGATGACATGCGTGTCATCAGTCACTTGGTGCTGTGACCAGTAGTTGATGACATGCGTGTCATCAGTCACTTGGTGCTGTGACCAGTACTTGATGACATGCGTGTCATCAGTCACTTGGTGCTGTGACCAGTACTTGATGACATGTGTGTCATCAGTCACTTGGTGCTGTGTCCAGTACTTGATGACATGTGTGTCATCAGTCACTTGGTGCTGTGTCCAGTACTTGATGACATGTGTGTCATCAGTCACTTAGTGCTGTGACCAGTTGTTGATGACATGTGTGTCATCAGTCACTTGGTGCTGTGACCAGTAGTTGATGACATGTGTGTCATCAGTCACTTGGTGCTGTGACCAGTAGTTGATGACATGTGTGTCATCAGTCACTTGGTGCTGTGACCAGTAGTTGATGACATGTGTGTCATCAGTCACTTGGTGCTGTGACCAGTAGTTGATGACATGCGTGTCATCAGTCACTTGGTGCTGTGACCAGTACTTGATGACATGCGTGTCATCAGTCACTTGGTGCTGTGACCAGTACTTGATGAAATGCGTGTCATCAGTCACTTGGTGCTGTGACCAGTACTTGATGACATGCGTGTCATCAGTCACTTGGTGCTGTGACCAGTAGTTGATGACATGTGTCATCAGTCACTTGGAGCAGTGACCAGTACTTGATGACATGTGTGTCATCAGTCACTTGGAGCAGTGACCAGTACTTGATGACATGTGTGTCATCAGTCACTTGGTGCTGTGACCAGTACTTGATGACATGTGTGTCATCAGTCACTTGGTGCTGTGACCAGTACTTGATGACATGTGTGTCATCAGTCACTTGGTGCTGTGACCAGTACTTTATGACATGTGTGTCATCAGTCACTTGGTGCTGTGACCAGTAGTTGATGACATGTGTGTCATCAGTCACTTGGAGCAGTGACCAGTAGTTGATGACATGCGTGTCATCAGTCACTTGGAGCAGTGACCAGTAGTTGATGACATGTGTGTCATCAGTCACTTGGAGCAGTGACCAGTACTTGATGACATGTGTGTCATCAGTCACTTGGTGCTGTGACCAGTACTTGATGACATGTGTGTCATCAGTCACTTGGTGCTGTGACCAGTAGTTGATGACATGTGTGTCATCAGTCACTTGGTGCTGTGACCAGTAGTTGATGACATGTGTGTCATCAGTCACTTGGTGCTGTGACCAGTACTTGATGACATGTGTGTCATCAGTCACTTGGTGCTGTGACCAGTAGTTGATGACATGTGTGTCATCAGTCACTTGGAGCAGTGACCAGTAGTTGATGACATGTGTGTCATCAGTCACTTGGAGCAGTGACCAGTAGTTGATGCCATGTGTGTCATCAGTCACTTGGTGCTGTGACCAGTAGTTGATGACATGTGTGTCATCAGTCACTTGGTGCTGTGACCAGTAGTTGATGACATGTGTGTCATCAGTCACTTGGTGCTGTGACCAGTAGTTGATGACATGTGTGTCATCAGTCACTTGGTGCTGTGACCAGTAGTTGATGACATGCATGTCATCAGTCACTTGGTGCTGTGTCCAGTACTTTAGGACAAAACTGGACATCAGCATCATCAGGCTCCTCCTTCTTCTTGGCATATACTGGCTGTAAACTCCAGCAGAAAGTTCTGGTTGTTCATCCACTTCTGGACTTTGGTCTTGTAATCAATTTTTTTCTCTTGGTATGTTTTCTCAGTGTAATCAACAGTTTTCTGTTGGTATTTTTTTTTAACTTGCGGAAAGTCCACTTTTTCGTGGCGAATCTTGTAATCTCTACAAGGCAACTTCAGTTCAGTTACGTCTGTACTATAGCAGCCGAAACAATCAACGTGTTCCAGAGTGATTTAAAATCAAAATACTAAACTAACTAGTCTGAGAATGGGAGACACAATTTTATATAAATCCATTTTTATTTTACGAAAAAAGCAACATGGATCAATGATGTACAACAGACAGCTATAACAGACATGTATAACAGACAGGTACAAGAGACATGTACAAAAGACAGGTACAACAAACATGCACAACAGACATGTACAACAAACATGCACAACAGACATGTACAACAGACAAATACAACAAACATGTACAACAGACAAATACAACAAACATGTACAACAAAAATTCACAACAGACAAATACAACAAACATGTACAACAGACAAATACAACAGACATGTACAACAAACATTCACAACAGACAAATACAACAAACATGCACAACAGACACATACAACAGACATGTTCGTTTTTTAAGGAACTGATCAAAATTCATGGAAATGTTAACAGATTGTTTTTTAAATGTTCTGTAGCACAGGAAATAATAAAGATTAATTTCTAGATGAAAAAATAAATGAAAGTGTTTTTAAAAAAATCAAAACTGATATGCAAGCAAAAATTAAAGTTCTACATCAAGACCAAAGTCTTGAAGTGGACGAACAACCAGATTTCTGCCGGAGTTTACAGTTGGTGACAACTAAGAAAAAGAACATTTTAAGAACTTAAGAGAGAGAGAGCAAGAGAGAGAGAGAACAAAAGAATGAAAATAGTGGAGGTCTCAAAATCAAATAGGAAACATCTCTCAACTGCAGAAAAAAAGCAGAAGAGTTTCTGGACAGACACCTTTGCCTCCATACAGAAGAGTTTCTGGACAGACACCTTTGCCTCCATACAGAAGAGTTTCTGGACAGACACCTTTGCCTCCATACAGAAGAGTTTCTGGACAGACACCTTTGCCTCCATACAGAAGAGTTTCTGGACAGACACCTTTGCCTCCATACAGAAGAGTTTCTGGACAGACACCTTTGCCTCCATACAGAAGAGTTTCTGGACAGACACCTTTGCCTCCATACAGAAGAGTTTCTGGACAGACACCTTTGCCTCCATACAGAAGAGTTTCTGGACAGACACCTTTGCCTCCATACAGAAGAGTTTCTGGACAGACACCTTTGCCTCCATACAGAAGAGTTTCTGGACAGACACCTTTGCCTCCATACAGAAGAGTTTCTGGACAGACACCTTTGCCTCCATACAGAAGAGTTTCTGGACAGACACCTTTGCCTCCATACAGAAGAGTTTCTGGACAGACACCTTTGCCTCCATACAGAAGAGTTTCTGGACAGACACCTTTGCCTCCATACAGAAGAGTTTCTGGACAGACACCTTTGCCTCCATACAGAAGAGTTTCTGGACAGACACCTTTGCCTCCATACAGAAGAGTTTCTGGACAGACACCTTTGCCTCCATACAGAAGAGTTTCTGGACAGACACCTTTGCCTCCATACAGAAGAGTTTCTGGACAGACACCTTTGCCTCCATACAGAAGAGTTTCTGGACAGACACCTTTGCCTCCATACAGAAGAGTTTCTGGACAGACACCTTTGCCTCCATACAGAAGAGTTTCTGGACAGACACCTTTGCCTCCATACAGAAGAGTTTCTGGACAGACACCTTTGCCTCCATACAGAAGAGTTTCTGGACAGACACCTTTGCCTCCATACAGAAGAGTTTCTGGACAGACACCTTTGCCTCCATACAGAAGAGTTTCTGGACAGACACCTTTGCCTCCATACAGAAGAGTTTCTGGACAGACACCTTTGCCTCCATACAGAAGAGTTTCTGGACAGACACCTTTGCCTCCATACAGAAGAGTTTCTGGACAGACACCTTTGCCTCCATACAGAAGAGTTTCTGGACAGACACCTTTGCCTCCATACAGAAGAGTTTCTGGACAGACACCTTTGCCTCCATACAGAAGAGTTTCTGGACAGACACCTTTGCCTCCATACAGAAGATAATGTTATATAGTGCTCTAGGAAGCAAGGGGACAAATGCTGACACTAACAAACAGCACAAAATGTCAACAATGTGAATACTATGACAAAGAAAGTGACTACTTATAAAAAACCATTAAACAGAAAAATACATTTTTTGGGAGCATATCAACAGAACAGCTGGAACTCGAAAATTATCCTTATGTAGGAGTACACAAATCACCAAACAGGCTACAATGGGAAATAAATCGAGAATGCCCAAAAGAAACTCTAGAACGAACGTGGATGAGCGAGGCCACAGCTGCTGGCACACAGGACAATGATGATGATGATGATTAGAAGGAGGAACAACAACACAAAGAAAGACAGAAAGATGTATAAAGGTGAAGGTCAAGTCGGGAGATGTGAACCAGCGTTATTGCACACGGTTATAAACCGTAAGTGCTCTGCCACCAGTACGGACAGCTAATATGAATTGTCCACCTGTGTCGCAGTCCGCAGGTAACTGTAGCTACGACGACGACGTTCCTTGATTTACCCCAGAGTGTCAACTCTGATACCTATTACCTAGAGGCTGGGTGAACCCCGGGAGCCGCTCAGTTTCAAACACCGACTGTGGGCTGCAGCGAGTCGCAGGTGGATTTGAAAGCAAGCCTCTTTTCGACTGCGCTAACGCGGCCCCCAGAAAGATGTATGTGAAAGTTAAACAGCTGTCCAATCATAATAATATAACCACTACAAGCTTCATTTAAAAAAATAAAAAAAAAAATAAAAAAACAGACAACAGACAAAACTGAGTGTCATAATCTTACACTTTCACCTTAAAGGTAGTTTTTTTTAAAAAGTTCAAACAAAAGACAACAAAACAAATAAATTGATTAATGCAACATTCTTGACCTATAGAATAACTGTACCCTAAAATCTTCCAAACACTGACTCCTTTTGCAAACTCATACAAACAAGAATCTATGTTAGTTAAATTCTTTCTTTTGACTGCTAGCTAATAAAAACAAGAATCTATGTTAGTTAAATTCTTTCTTTTGACTGCTAGCTAATACAAACAAGAATCTATGTTAGTTCAATTCTTTCTTTTGACTGCTAGCTAATACAAACAAGAATCTATGTTAGTTAAATTCTTTCTTTTGACTGCTAGCTCATACAAACAAGAATCTATGTTAGTTCAATTCTTTCTTTTGACTGCTAGCTAATACAAACAAGAATCTATGTTAGTTCAATTCTTTCTTTTGACTGCTAGCTAATACAAACAAGAATCTATGTTAGTTCAATTCTTTCTTTTGACTGCTAGCTCATACAAACAAGAATCTATGTTAGTTCAATTCTTTCTTTTGACTGCTAGCTAATACAAACAAGAATCTATGTTAGTTCAATTCTTTCTTTTGACTGCTAGCTCATACAAACAAGAATCTATGTTAGTTCAATTCTTTCTTTTGACTGCTAGCTAATACAAACAAGAATCTATGTTAGTTCAATTCTTTCTTTTGACTGCTAGCTCATACAAACAGGAACCTGTACTGGTCGAAAGAAACAAACCATTTCAACTGCAGAATTTGCATAGATAGGGATATTCTAGGTTAATTCCTTCTATTCAAAACATTTGGTGTTTTTTTTTTTCTTCCCACAACTCAGTCCTGTTTACAAATTATTTTACCTAACTTAGTAATAAACACTACTTTTTTTATCTATCTTACTTGGTGGTAAATTCTTTCTATCGCATTCAATCAGTAACTATTTTCCTCCCACTGAAAAGATTAACTTTTTTTAAAAATCTCCTTAGTAAACTAACTCTCCAAAATCCCTGTGACAGATTACCTGTAATACTTAGTATCCCACCCAAGGGATAAACTTTATTCTTTTCAGCTGTAAAGATCTATTCTGTCTACCGCATTCAACAAGTTTGCTTCAAGTCTCTCTATCATACTCAACTCGGTCACTTGAGACAGACAGTCTACTTTCCAGACTGCAGACCTGGACAGAACACACACCATGTCAGATCTCAGACACGCTGGTACAGAACACACACCATGTCAGATCTCAGACACGCTGGTACAGAACACACACCATGTCAGATCTCAGACACGCTGGTACAGAACATACACCATGTCAGATCTGAGACACGCTGGTACAGAACACACACCATGTCAGATCTGAGACACGCTGGTACAGAACACACACCATGTCAGATCTCAGACACGCTGGTACAGAACACACACCATGTCAGATCTCAGACACGCTGGTACAGAACACACACCATGTCAGATCTCAGACACGCTGGTACAGAACACACACCATGTCAGATCTCAGACACGCTGGTACAGAACACACACCATGTCAGATCTCAGACACGCTGGTACAGAACACACATGTCAGATCTCAGACATGCTGGTACAGAACACACACCATGTCAGATCTCAGACACGCTGGTACAGAACACACACCATGTCAGATCTCAGACAGGCTGGTACAGAATACACACCATGTCAGATCTCAGACACGCTGGTACAGAACACACACCATGTCAGATCTCAGACAGGCTGGTACAGAACACACACCATGTCAGATCTCAGACAGGCTGGTACAGAACACACACCATGTCAGATCTCAGACAGGCTGGTACAGAATACACACCATGTCAGATCTCAGACACGCTGGTACAGAACACACACCATGTCAGACCTCAGACAGGCTGGTACAGAACACACACCATGTCAGATCTCAGACACGCTGGTACAGAACACACACCATGTCAGATCTCAGACACGCTGGTACAGAACACACATGTCAGATCTCAGACAGGCTGGTACAGAACACACATGTCAGATCTCAGACATGCTGGTACAGAACACACACCATGTCAGATCTCAGACACGCTGGTACAGAACACACACCATGTCAGATCTCAGACAGGCTGGTACAGAATACACACCATGTCAGATCTCAGACACGCTGGTACAGAACACACACCATGTCAGATCTCAGACACGCTGGTACAGAACACACACCATGTCAGACCTCAGACACGCTGGTACAGAACACACATGTCAGATCTCAGACACGCTGGTACAGAACACACATGTCAGATCTCAGACATGCTGGTACAGAACACACACCATGTCAGATCTCAGACACGCTGGTACAGATACAAATAAGCTAAGTCCTTGGGCGGGTGCTCGGACAGGGCCACCTTCTCATCGTTGTATATAACCCAGTGGCCATCCTTGAGTACGTGGCACACGTAGTGTCCAACGCTGGTGGATGTCCCCATGTGGCTGATAAAGGCTACCAGTTTGTACTCTGCAAAGAACACAGAAAAATGACATGAGTTGAGGGCACCAGTGCGCTTGAGTAGCCTGACTTCAGCTCAGTCCAGTGTGAATGACCACTAGTGGACTAAAGACATGGTAACCAGAGCAACAGTAATGCAAAACTTTGTGACAAAACTAAACAAATCTCACAAAACCAAGAGAAAAGAAAAAGATGCTGGCAATGGACGGGACACTGATTGAAAATATCTGATAATAATTTAACAAGAGTGCCTTTGCTTTGGAACACCTAAAGTCAAAGAAATAAGAGCAGGCAAGATAACATTCAGAGAAGAGAATTAGTTAAAAAGAGCCTTTTACAAGCTGGTGCCAAATTGGGTTTACGAAGCTAGACCAGATTTACTGAGGAATACGCTTTTAATACGTGATGTGGTCGACATGACACTGGCCGTCTTTACTTCCCAGGACTTTAGCTGGTACCCATTTCAGGCTGGGTCGACCTGACAGCCAAGGTCATTTTCAAGAAAGAATGTGGTCTTTGGGCCAGCAGACTGAGCATCATAACTTTAGACCAGCAGTTCTCTGGGCCAGCAGGCTGAGCATCATAACTTTAGACCAGCAGTTCTCTGGGCCAGCAGGCTGAGCATCATAACTTTAGACCAGCAGTTCTCTGGGCCAGCAGGCTGAGCATCATAACTTTAGATCAGCAGTTCTCTGGGCCAGCAGGCTGAGCATCATAACTTTAGACCAGCAGTTCTCTGGGCCAGCAGGCTGAGCATCATAACTTTAGATCAGCAGTTCTCTGGGCCAGCAGGCTGAGCATCATAACTTTAGACCAGCAGTTCTCTGGGCCAGCAGGCTGAGCATCATAACTTTAGACCAGCAGGTCTGTGGGCCAGCAGGCTGAGCATCATAACTTTAGACTAGCAGGTCTTTGGGCCAGCAGGTCTTTGGGCCAGCAGTTCTCTGGGCCAGCAGGCTGAGCATCATAACTTTACACCAGCAGTTCTCTGGGCCAGCAGGCTGAGCATCATAACTTTAGACCAGCAGTTCTCTGGGCCAGCAGGCTGAGCATCATAACTTTAGACCAGCAGTTCTCTGGGCCAGCAGGCTGAGCATCATAACTTTAGACCAGCAGGTCTGTGGGCCAGCAGGCTGAGCATCATAACTTTAGACTAGCAGGTCTTTGGGCCAGCAGGTCTTTGGGCCAGCAGTTCTCTGGGCCAGCAGGCTGAGCATCATAACTTTAGACCAGCAGTTCTCTGGGCCAGCAGGCTGAGCATCATAACTTTAGACCAGCAGTTCTCTGGGCCAGCAGGCTGAGCATCATAACTTTAGACCAGCAGTTCTCTGGGCCAGCAGGCTGAGCATCATAACTTTACACCAGCAGGTCTCTGGGCCAGCAGGCTGAGCATCATAACTTTAGACCAGCAGTTCTCTGGGCCAGCAGGCTGAGCATCATAACTTTAGACCAGCAGTTCTCTGGGCCAGCAGGCTGAGCATCATAACTTTACACCAGCAGGTATGTGGGCCAGCAGGCTGAGCATCATAACTTTAGACCAGCAGGTCTCTGTTTTCGCTGCAGCACCCAGTTTGAAAACCTCTGCTCTGCACCTCCACAGCTACCTTTGTTTTGAGTAGAATTAAAGATTGTGTTCAACTTCAGGCTTCGAGATAAACAAATGTAGACTTGAGGTTGTTGACATCTCCATCTTTGTCTTTAAACTAAACATGTGAAGGTTGGACTAAACAAGTGACAGTAGATCAAGAGGTGAAGAAAAGACGCTGGCGTTGGATAGGACACACGTTGAGAAAACCTGAGAACAATACAAAACAGAATGTCTTTACATTGGAACCTACAAGGACACAGAAATAAAGGAAGACCCAAAAAATACATAGAGAAGACAGCTAGAGAGTGAAGATAAAAAGACTGGGAGGACATGGGGCAGCGAAGGACAAAACGACTTAGTGTCAGTTGGTTGAGGACCTATGTCCAAGCAGCTAACTAGCTCAGAATAGGGGCAATCAGCATTCCTGTGGGTCTTCTAGACAACTTTGAGGACAGACTGAACACTTACAGATTTATCCTGAGTGCAGTGATGTTAACTCTTCATCACAACTGTAACCAAGTTATAGAGCAACTGTAGATGATTTTCCCCACGTGCAAACAACATTAACCCCTAGTCTAGACACAGGCTATGTACTTACTTTCAGACCCATCTCTGAATCTTGATGCCGAGGCAGCTGCTTCCGTCTCAGTTTCCATTGGCTCCTGAATCTCATCTGCATGGCTCAAGATCCAATCAACCGCTCGCTCTGCGTTGTTATCCTGTGTACACACAAATTGTTTTTGTTTTTAATATGGCAGTGTTCTTTTTTATAGCGGACTGTCTTGAGAAGAAGAAAAAACTTTATTCTCGTGGCTTTTGGACAGTGGTAAGAGAGTGACACTGTGGAAGAGATTGAAGCCCCACCCCATAATGTTCCCACTGACAATAATGGATGCATGTATCTGCTGGAAACAACTTGCATTGTGGAAATTGCATAAACTTTGTTTGTTTAAACACAACATTCAGCAATTCATCACTGACAAATGATCATTGGAAGGAAACAAACAATCAAATACAAAACAGATAAGAAAGATGAGTGCTTGGGCATTGAAGAAAAAAAAGGACTTTCTTCTTGTCCACTCCACAAACGAGACTGAGCCTCGAGAGGCAGGGGGTAAGAAGTGTTGGTGTTGTGGGTAGTGGGTTCCCCCCCCCTTACTTCACCCTAGGTCTAGTGAATATCTGTTCACGAAAGGAGCGTCCATTGTGATGTCAGCCTCTTGAACTAGCAAAACCTCTCTTACCTCAAGACCACTGTACGTGGCGAAGAGTCACAGCCTCCCCGAGGTAGTATTGGTAACTGGGGGTGCGAATCTCCAGGCAAAACACAATGGATCTAGAGGAGCAAACCTCGATAATAAACCCGGTGCACCACACCGTACTGCCCCCTGTGGGAGGGAAGGAGCCAGAGGTGTGCTGAACAGTCTTAGGAATGGAAACAAGTATGCTAACCCCCCTGAATACCGGAAACTATCGTGAAGGCACAGGGACTCAAGACGCGACGATCCAGTTGCCCCAACTACTCATGCTTAGGCCATGCTTAGAGCCCTGAAGAGCTCAGCGAAACCTGCAGGCAATCTGGTGGCGGGGAATGAGCACACTGTGAGCCCCACCTTAGCTACGTGTTAAAGGGGAAGGCAGAAACACAACCCATATTTCCTTTAGAACTGGTACAGGGCATTTCTAGCTGCTGCCCGGGGAGGTAGGTAATCCACAGACACCCCAGCACCACAATGCCATGAATATGTCAAAATCTAAGAATGCATACGAGATCGGTCGTCGCCTCGTCTATCAAGGCCCGCGCCAGACAGTGGAAAACCAGGCTGTCATGTGCGAAAAATTGGCTACTGGAAAATTTGAAATAAATAGGAAAATCAGACACCCCAGGAGGAGGAAGAGTGGGAGGGAGAGCAAAGAGAACTCAGAAGGAAACAAACAATCAAATACAAAACAGATAAGAAAGATGAGTGCTTGGGCATTGAAGAAAAAAAAAGGACTTTCTTCTTGTCCACTTCTTTTAACCACTTTGGGTGTCTATCCTATGCTCTACGTCCTTCTCTTTTGTGGTGTGCCTTGTACGCCTTTTGTGTCACAGAGTATTCTCTGCAAGTGGGCAGACCAAACCATTTGATCTGCTGGCTTTGTATGCCATTTAGGATTGGTTCTGTGCCAACTTGTTCTATTGTGACCTCATTCCTGGTTGTTTCTCTTCCGGTCACTCCTGCAGCCTTTTTCAGACATCTCATTTGCATGGTTACTGATTTTCTTTTCTAGATTATTTTGAGTGACCATGCCTGGCATTGGTTGCATAAGATGGGAATGTATATGCCATGTATGAGAAGTTTCTTTCTGCTGATCAGAATGAAGAAAGGATAAAATATAAAAGAGATAAGAAAATATGATAAGATCAGAATGAAGAAAGGATAAAATATAAAAGAGATAAGAAAACATGATAAGATCAGAATGAAGAAAGGATAAAATATAAAAGAGATAAGAAAACATGATAAGATCAGAATGAAGAAAGGATAAAATATAAAAGAGATAAGAAAACATTATAAGATCAGAATGAAGAAAGGATAAAATATAAAAGAGATAAGAAAACATGATAAGATCAGTCTTGAGTATTGAAGGGGAAAAAAAAGGAAAACTAATTTTTTTTTTTTAAACTGACCGTTGCTTTTAGAGCTTTTAGTGCTTGGTCGCTGGTGAAGCCGATAGACATCAGAAGTGCCAGGCCGGCCTGGTTGGGTTCGAATGCTGCCTTGGGGGACTGAGCCTCCCGTGTCTGTGGGGGCTTGAAAGGGGCTGCAAAGTCTGGAGAATCAAAAAGGAATGTTTATAAATAACTTTTGGGATGTATGAGCATCAATACCCATATATTATGGTTTGACATATGTTGTTTAGGTACCTCACTGATATGGCACAGCCAGACCTTTTTTAATAATTGACCTTGACTCCCAGGTTGACCAAGCCTTGAGTGGGTACTGGGTGCAGTTGAGGGAAGTAAAGGCGGCTGGCTTGATGCTGACCACATCACCCATCTTGTGGCGATTGGTCTATAAAAAAATAGGTCTAGCCCTATTTGCCTAAAGGCTTGGAAAAGGGTCCTTTACTTAAAAAAAAAATGTTTTACATTTATATGAAATATCAATGGTCTGACAGCATGTATAATATACAGTAAACCCTTGTTAACACAAATTTCAAACATTTGAGGTCAAGTGTTAAATTTAAATATTCATCATCCTCCACTTCAGTAAAATTCTTCTTCTTCATCATCTTCTGCCTGTTTTCTCCCTCGGGGACACAGGTCCTCAAGCTACACACAGCATGTGGCCCGATCCTTGCTGTCACAAGCAGCTCATTCAAGGCCCTCCCCCATCTTGTTCATCTCACTTCTTAATTCTCTTCTCGAAAGGTCTTTTGGTTTGCCTTTATTCCTTTCTTTTTTTCTTCTTCTTCTGATGCATGACAAGCGAGATTGTGTCAAGGCTTTAGGAGGGAGTGAACCGTGCGGAGGTACACAAAGATTATCATGGTTTGAACAGAATGGTGCAATAAAGAGTGAACCGTGCGGAGGTACACAAAGATTATCATGGTTTGAACAGAATGGTGCAATAAAGAGTGAACCGTGTGGAGGTACACAAAGATTATCATGGTTTGAACAGAATGGTGCAATAAAGAGTGAACCGTGCGGAGGTACACAAAGATTATCAAGGTTTGAACAGAATGGTGCAATAAAGAGTGAACCGTGCGGAGGTACACAAAGACTATCACTGTTTGAACAGAGTGCGGAGGTACACAAAGATTATCATAGTTTGAACAGAATGGTGCAATAGGGAGTGAACCGTGTGGAGGTACACAAAGATTATCATGGTTTGAACAGAATGGTGCAATAGGGAGTGAACCGTGTGGAGGTACACAAAGACCATCACGGATTGAACAGAATGGTGCAACAAGAAAGACATGACTGGAGGGACTCAGTGACACTACAAAAAGGCACTATGATATTGACACAAGCTGTGCACCTAGCATAAGACACCTAACTCCTCTCAGCAACAATTTATTTTATTGCATAAGCACTAGGACACAAGAATCAGAAGAAGAAACACAAACCTGAGTCATCTATGTGCTCCATGAGCCAGTTGGTGGCTGCCTCGACACCGGAGCTCTTCGTGTGATAGACCGCCCTCCTGCAAGCATCAAAGGGGAAGCCCATGTCAACGAGCTGGGTCACTGTTGCTTCACATATATTCACCACAGGTTCTGAACAGAGATGAGTAACTGTTTGAAATAATGCCCACACAAACAATACATTGCACAATTTATTGCCTGGCATATTTTGCTGTATCTCGTCAGGTGCTTTACTAGAGAGTTACACCAACATGCAACAAGGCATTCCCCCCCCCCCCCCCCCCCCACTGAAATATATAAACTGCCATCTACGTGGTTGCTTTAAATGAAAACCTTAAAAGTGTATTAGAAATTACAACAGCCATGCTTTTGTCGTATAACCTGTCAGTAAGGTTGCTAAGCATGTCTTTCAACTGTCCGATGTGTTCATCTGCCCCATGATGTCACATGCTTAACACTCTTGACATCTTTAACAACACTATAGACAGGTTACAAGACACTGACGAGATTACTGTTATTTCTATCACACTTTTAAGTGAGGTTTTCTTTTAAAACCCCAGTGTATTATGACAATTTACTGTCTATGTCCACGTTATTTACAATTCATTATAAGAAAATATTCTTCTGAACAAATCTATTTTTGGATTTTTGTTTATATGTATCTAGGAAACTCTAACAGATGTTCATGGGAAAGAAAAGTCCTGAGGATGAGAACTGGTCCCCTCACATCAGCATGAAATAAGCAGTGCTTAATGTTTCCGAACTGGAGGCAATATTTTAACTGTTTTAGAACTGGAGGCAATGTTTTAACTGTTTTGGAGCTGGAGGCAATATTTTAACTGTTTTGGAACTAGAGGCAATATTTCAACTGTTTGGAACTGGAGGCAATGTTTTAACTGTTTTAGAACTAGAGGCAATATTTCAACTGTTTTGGAACTAGAGGCAATATTTTAACTGTTTTGGAACTGAAGGTAATATTTTTAACTGTTTTGGAACTAGAGGCATTATTTTAACCATTTTGGTAAAATGGAGGTAATATTTAACCACTTTGGTAGAATGGAGGTAATATTTAACCATTTTGGTAGAATGGAGGCAATATGTGAACCACTTTACATGGCACACTGAATAATTAGATGTCTTAGCCATCATGTCTTATAACAACACAAAGAACAACATTGGACACCTAACCACTGTTACACAAAGAACAACACTGGACACCTAACCACTGTTACACAAGGAACAACACTGGACACCTAACCACTGTTACACAAAGAACAACACTGGACACCTAACCACTGTTACACAAAGGACAACATTGGACACCTAACCACTGTTACACAAGGAACAACACTGGACATCTAACCACTGTTACACAAAGAACAACATTGGACACCTAACCACTGTTACACAAAGAACAACACTGCACACCTAACCACTGTTACACAAAGAACAACACTGGACATCTAACCACTGTTACACAAAGAACAACATTGGACACCTAACCACTGTTACACAAAGAACAACACTGGACATCTAACCACTGTTACACAAAGAACAACATTGGACACCTAACCACTGTTACACAAAGAACAACACTGGACACCTAACCACTGTTACACAAGGAACAACACTGGACACCTAACCACTGTTACACAAGGAACAACACTGGACACCTAACCACTGTTACACAAAGAACAACATTGGACACCTAACCACTGTTACACAAGGAACAACACTGGACACCTAACCACTGTTACACAAGGAACAACATTGGACACCTAACCACTGTTACACAAAGAACATTGGACACCTAACCACTGTTACACAAAGAACAACATTGGACACCTAACCACTGTTACACAAAGAACAACATTGGACACCTAACCACTGTTACACAAAGAACAACACTGGACACCTAACCACTGTTACACAAGGAACAACACTAGACACCTAACCACTGTTACACAAGGAACAACACTGGACACCTAACCACTGTTACACAAAGAACAACACTAGACACCTAACCACTGTTACACAAGGAACAACACTGGACACCTAACCACTGTTACACAAAGAACAACATTGGACACCTAACCACTGTTACACAAGGAACAACATTGGACACCTAACCACTGTTACACAAAGAACAACACTGGACACACCTAACCACTGTTACACAAAGAACAACACTGGACACCTAACCACTGTTACACAAGGAACAACACTGGACACCTAACCACTGTTACACAAGGAACAACACTGGACACCTAACCACTGTTACACAAGGAACAACACTGGACACCTAACCACTGTTACACAAGGAACAACACTGGACATCTAACCACTGTTACACAAAGAACAACACTGGACATCTAACCACTGTTACACAAAGAACAACACTGGACACCTAACCACTGTTACACAAGGAACAACACTGGACACCTAACCACTGTTACACAAGGAACAACACTGGACACCTAACCACTGTTACACAAGGAACAACACTGGACACCTAACCACTGTTACACAAGGAACAACACTGGACATCTAACCACTGTTACACAAGGAACAACATTGGACACCTAACCACTGTTACACAAAGAACAACACTGGACACCTAACCACTGTTACACAAGGAACAACACTGGACACCTAACCACTGATACACAAGGAACAACATTGGACACCTAACCACTGTTACACAAAGAACAACACTGGACACCTAACCACTGTTACACAAGGAACAACACTGGACACCTAACCACTGTTACACAAGGAACAACACTGGACACCTAACCACTGTTACACAAAGAACAACATTGGACACCTAACCACTGTTACACAAGGAACAACACTGGACACCTAACCACTGTTACACAAGGAACAACATTGGACACCTAACCACTGTTACACAAAGAACATTGGACACCTAACCACTGTTACACAAAGAACAACATTGGACACCTAACCACTGTTACACAAAGAACAAACATTGGACACCTAACCACTGTTACACAAAGAACAACACTGGACACCTAACCACTGTTACACAAGGAACAACACTAGACACCTAACCACTGTTACACAAGGAACAACACTGGACACCTAACCACTGTTACACAAAGAACAACACTAGACACCTAACCACTGTTACACAAGGAACAACACTGGACACCTAACCACTGTTACACAAAGAACAACATTGGACACCTAACCACTGTTACACAAGGAACAACATTGGACACCTAACCACTGTTACACAAAGAACAACACTGGACACCTAACCACTGTTACACAAAGAACAACACTGGACACCTAACCACTGTTACACAAGGAACAACACTGGACACCTAACCACTGTTACACAAGGAACAACACTGGACACCTAACCACTGTTACACAAGGAACAACACTGGACACCTAACCACTGTTACACAAGGAACAACACTGGACATCTAACCACTGTTACACAAAGAACAACACTGGACATCTAACCACTGTTACACAAAGAACAACACTGGACACCTAACCACTGTTACACAAGGAACAACACTGGACACCTAACCACTGTTACACAAGGAACAACACTGGACACCTAACCACTGTTACACAAGGAACAACACTGGACACCTAACCACTGTTACACAAGGAACAACACTGGACACCTAACCACTGTTACACAAGGAACAACACTGGACACCTAACCACTGTTACACAAGAAACAACACTGGACACCTAACCACTGTTACACAAAGAACAACACTGGACATCTAACCACTGTTACACAAGGAACAACACTGGACATCTAACCACTGTTACACAAAGAACAACACTGGACACCTAACCACTGTTACACAAGGAACAACACTGGACATCTAACCACTGTTACACAAGGAACAACATTGGACACCTAACCACTGTTACACAAAGAACAACACTGGACACCTAACCACTGTTACACAAGGAACAACACTGGACACCTAACCACTGATACACAAGGAACAACATTGGACACCTAACCACTGTTACACAAAGAACAACACTGGACACCTAACCACTGTTACACAAGGAACAACACTGGACACCTAACCACTGTTACACAAGGAACAACACTGGACACCTAACCACTGTTACACAAGGAACAACATTGGACACCTAACCACTGTTACACAAGGAACAACATTGGACACCTAACCACTGTTACACAAGGAACAACATTGGACACCTAACCACTGTTACACAAGGAACAACATTGGACACCTAACCACTGTTACACAAGGAACAACATTGGACACCTAACCACTGTTACACAAAGAACAACACTGGACACCTAACCACTGTTACACAAAGAACAACACTGGACACCTAACCACTGTTTCCCCACCTGCAGCAGAGTCTCCTGAAGGCAGCTCTTCCTCTTCTGCCTGCAGACCTTTTCCTCTCAAGGCCATGAGGTCAAGTTCATCAGGAACCTGGATGGACACATCTGTGGACACAAACACGTCACTGTTGTCATGTGCTACTGCTGTTGTGTGCTACTGGTGTTGTGCGCTACCGCTGTTGTGCGCTACCGCTGTTGTTGTGCGCTACCGCTGTTGTTGTGCGCTACCGCTGTTGTTGTGCGCTACCGCTGTTGTTGTGCGCTACCGCTGTTGTTGTGCGCTACCGCTGTTGTTTGTGCGCTACCGCTGTTGTTGTGCGCTACCGCTGTTGTTGTGCGCTACCGCTGTTGTTGTGCGCTACCGCTGTTGTTGTGCGCTACCGCTGTTGTTGTGCGCTACCGCTGTTGTTGTGCGCTACCGCTGTTGTTGTGCGCTACCGCTGTTGTTGTGCGCTACCGCTGTTGTTGTGCGCTACCGCTGTTGTTGTGCGCTACCGCTGTTGTTGTGCGCTACCGCTGTTGTTGTGCGCTACCGCTGTTGTTGTGCGCTACCGCTGTTGTTGTGCGCTACCGCTGTTGTTGTGCGCTACCGCTGTTGTTGTGCGCTACCGCTGTTGTTGTGCGCTACCGCTGTTGTTGTGCGCTACCGCTGTTGTTGTGCGCTACCGCTGTTGTTGTGCGCTACCGCTGTTGTTGTGCGCTACCGCTGTTGTTGTGCGCTACCGCTGTTGTTGTGCGCTACCGCTGTTGTTGTGCGCTACCGCTGTTGTTGTGCGCTACCGCTGTTGTTGTGCGCTACCGCTGTTGTTGTGCGCTACCGCTGTTGTTGTGCGCTACCGCTGTTGTCGTGCGCTACCGCTGTTGTCGTGCGCTACCGCTGTTGTCGTGCGCTACCGCTGTTGTCGTGCGCTACCGCTGTTGTCGTGCGCTACCGCTGTTGTCGTGCGCTACCGCTGTTGTCGTGCGCTACCGCTGTTGTCGTGCGCTACCGCTGTTGTCGTGCGCTACAGCTGTTGCCGTGCGCTACAGCTGTTGCCGTGCGCTACAGCTGTTGCCGTGCGCTACCGCTGTTGCCGTGCGCTACCGCTGTTGCCGTGCGCTACCGCTGTTGCCGTGCGCTACCGCTGTTGCCGTGCGCTACCGCTGTTGTCGTGCGCTACCGCTGTTGTCGTGCGCTACCGCTGTTGTCGTGCGCTACCGCTGTTGTCGTGCGCTACCGCTGTTGTCGTGCGCTACCGCTGTTGTCGTGCGCTACCGCTGTTTGTCGTGCGCTACCGCTGTTGTCGTGCGCTACCGCTGTTGTCGTGCGCTACCGCTGTTGTCGTGCGCTACCGCTGTTGTCGTGCGCTACCGCTGTTGTCGTGCGCTACCGCTGTTGTCGTGCGCTACCGCTGTTGTCGTGCGCTACCGCTGTTGTCGTGCGCTACCGCTGTTGTCGTGCGCTACCGCTGTTGTCGTGCGCTACCGCTGTTGTCGTGCGCTACCGCTGTTGTCGTGCGCTACCGCTGTTGTCGTGCGCTACCGCTGTTGCCGTGCGCTACCGCTGTTGCCGTGCGCTACAGCTGTTGCCGTGCGCTACAGCTGTTGTCGTGCGCTACAGCTGTTGTCGTGCGCTACAGCTGTTGTCGTGCGCTACAGCTGTTGTCGTGCGCTACAGCTGTTGTCGTGCGCTACAGCTGTTGTCGTGCGCTACAGCTGTTGTCGTGCGCTACAGCTGTTGTCGTGCGCTACTACTGTTCTCGTGCGCTACTACTGTTGTCGTGTGCTACTACTGTTGTCGTGTGCTACTACTGTTGTCGTGTGCTACTACTGTTCTCGTGTGCTACTACTGTTGTCGTGCTACTACTGTTGTCGTGCTACTACTGTTGTCGTGTGCTACTACTGTTGTCGTGTGCTACTACTGTTCTCGTGTGCTACTACTGTTCTCGTGTGCTACTACTGTTCTCGTGTGCTACTACTGTTGTCGTGTGCTACTACTGTTGTCGTGTGCTACTACTGTTCTCATGTGCTACTACTGTTCTCATGTGCTACTACTGTTGTCTCATGTGCTACTACTGTTGTCGTGTGCTACTACTGTTGTCGTGTGCTACTACTGTTGTCGTGTGCTACTACTGTTGTCGTGTGCTACTACTGTTCTCGTGTGCTACTACTGTTCTCGTGTGCTACTACTGTTCTCGTGTGCTACTACTGTTCTCGTGTGCTACTACTGTTCTCGTGTGCTACTACTGTTGTCGTGTGCTACTACTGTTCTCGTGTGCTACTACTGTTCTCGTGTGCTACTACTGTTCTCGTGTGCTACTACTGTTCTCGTGTGCTACTACTGTTGTCGTGTGCTACTACTGTTGTCGTGTGCTACTACTGTTGTCATGTGCTACTACTGTTGTCACGAGCTACTACTGTTGTCACGTGCTACTACTGTTGTCATGTGCTACTACTGTTGTCATGTGCTACTACTGTTCTCATGTGCTACTACTGTTGTCACGAGCTACTACTGTTGTCATGTGCTACTACTGTTCTCATGTGCTACTACTGTTGTCGTGTGCTACTACTGTTGTCACGTGCTACTACTGTTGTCACGAGCTACTACTGTTGTCATGTGCTACTACTGTTCTCGTGTGCTACTACTGTTCTCGTGTGCTACTACTGTTGTCACGAGCTACTACTGTTGTCACGAGCTACTACTGTTCTCATGTGCTACTACTGTTCTCATGTGCTACTACTGTTGTCACGAGCTACTACTGTTGTCACGAGCTACTACTGTTCTCGTGTGCTACTACTGTTCTCGTGTGCTACTACTGTTCTCGTGTGCTACTACTGTTCTCGTGTGCTACTACTCAGCATTCCATTCTTCTTATTCCTTCAAGCAAACACCTGACATCTCATTGCTCACACAAACATATGCTGGTTCAATCCCAACAACCGCCGATGTCTCAGCTGAATACGATGTGGAAGAGCAAAATCAGTATGGCAGTCAAGGTCAATATATCAAATCACTGGTGTTGTCTATTTTCTTATACGGATGTGAGAGTTGGACTCTCAATGTGGAAATGGGAAGGAGGATTCAGGCTTTCGAATGTAAATGCTACAGACGCATTTTACAAATTAGTTATTTAGAAAACAAAACTGATAAATATGTCAGAGACCAATTATACAAATTTGCGGGACATCAGGAGCCTCTCTTGGTAGTGGTGAAACGTCGCAAGCTAGTTTGGCTTGGGCACGTGGTGAGACATGATTCGATTGCAGAGACTGTACTTCAAGGAACATGGGGTGGGAGGGGGGGGGGGGGGGGGGGGGGGGGGGGGGGTAGTTGGTAAGAAGAGAGGGGCAAAGAAGAACCTGGAATAACATCAAGAAATGGACAGGACTAAGTTAACATAAACTTTTTCATCAAGCGGAAGACAGAGGAAGATGGCAGGTTTTATGTGCTAGTGCTTCCATCAATACACCTCCATGACCCTAATAGGTCAAGGGTTAGGTCATATTATGATTACAATCCACTCACACAAAACCATTTTCAACGGGTTTTTCCAGAAAAGAGCGCAATTCCCCCCCCCCCCCCCCCCAATTATGGTTTGTTATACGTACCTAGCTTGCGTGGGACCCAATCATCACCAATGGTAAACTTCCTCAGTTGTATCATTAGGTAGTCTGGGAATGTGGACAGACGTGTTGTCCTGAAAATACATCACCTAAGCTGAGTACTTATTTCAACATACTTGATCTATTCAATCACACCTGTACACAATCTACTTAGTCATAAATGTATATTCAATTACACCTGTACACAATCTATTTATTCATAAATTTCTACTCAATCACACCTGTACACAATCTATTTAGTCATGAATGTCTATTCAATCACACCTGTACACAATCTATTTAGTCATAAATGTCTACTCAATCACACCTGTACACAATCTATTTAGTCACAAATGTCTTTTCAATCACACCTGTACACAATCTATTTAGTCACAAATGTCTATTCAATCACACATGTACACAATCTATTTAGTCACAAATGTCTATTCAATCACACCTGTACACAATCTATTTAGTCACAAATGTCTTTTCAATCACACCTGTACACAATCTATTTAGTCATAAATGTCTACTCAATCACACCTGTACACAATCTATTTAGTCACAAATGTCATTTCAATCACACCTGTACACAATCTATTTATTCATAAATTTCTACCCAATCACACCTGTACACAATCTATTTAGTCATGAATGTCTATTCACTCACATCTGTACACAATCTATTTAGTCATAAATGTCTACTCAATCACACCTGTACACAATCTATTTAGTCATGAATGTCTATTCACTCACATCTGTACACAATCTATTTAGTCATAAATGTCTACTCAATCACACCTGTACACAATCTATTTAGTCATGAATGTCTATTCAATCACACCTGTACACAATCTATTTAGTCACAAATGTCTATTCAATCACATCTGTATACAATCTATTTAGTCACAAATGTCTACTCAATCACATCTGTACACAATCTATTTAGTCATGAATGTCTACTCAATCACACCTGTACACAATCTATTTAATCATAAATGTCTACTCAATCACATCTGTATACAATCTATTTAGCCATAAATGTCCCCAAACCAGCTGTTGCCTTGCCAATCCATAATGTCTTTCTCTGTGTCCTGGTCATCAACACTACTAGATAAATCCAACTTTTGACCATTTGTTTGTGTCACAATTTAAATTCAGAATGAGAAAAAAAAACTGGTTTTAAATCTGTATACGGTTAAATAGTTTTTGTTTGTGTTTTGTTTTGACATTCCCGCTATCACTTGCACATGTTAGGAACATTTTTTTCTCAGCTAATAAATAAATGCTGCTTGTTTATGCAGCCAAAATATGACAATTATGACTTTTCTTTTTTAACCGAATGTTATTGAAGTTCAAATATATGTCCTAAAAAGTGTGAGGCAGACATTCTTACCCCTCACACATCTCACAGAACTTACTTTAGAGCTGCAGTTTTTCCTCGGATGGCCGAGCTGTAGAAGTTCTCCACAAGTTCAGCTTCTTGAAAGACATTCAGACACTCAAACAGAGGGATGATTGGCCGAACGATGGTCTTAGGATCCCTGTGGAAATCATCAATAAACAGATCGCCATCATCATCATTTGCCCTGCTGATAAGTATTAGGTTAGTTGCGTATCCTTTACAGGACGTTGCAGAACCAACCCCGGTAGCCCCTGGTTGTTATGTGGTTTCTCTAGGCAAATTACGTCCAGTAGTTTGCCATTGCTTTCTGGACATCGGCCCCCTGATAGCACTGTCGAAACCAACGCAAGGCGCATAGCCCGCAGCTGTGATCGAACCCGACACTCCGGTATTACGAAGCGTTCACATTGACTTAGCCACAGAGCCGACCTGATAAGCATATGCAGTCAAATTTACAATCTCACATGATCATCAGAATGATGGATTATGTCAGTGTTCTTGTCTCACCCCTATTCATACAGGACTGCAGGTTACACCTTGCTGGTTACACCATGCATGTCATAAGAGGCAACTAAGGAGGCCTGGTATCAAACTGGCTACCAGTAAGCAAGTCACATTAGGCAACTAATTCGGACAGACAAATCATTTGTCTGTCTACACATATACAAAATGACAAACAACCTATCTGTCTACATTTTCAAACAGACAAACCACCTGTCTGTGTACATTTTTTTCAAACAGACAAACCACTTGTCTGTGTACATTTTCAAACAGACAAACCACCTGTCTGTGTACATATTCAAACAGACAAACCACCTGTCTGCGCACATATTCAAACAGACAAACCACCTATCTGTACATATTCAAACAGACAAACCACCTGTCTGTACATATTCAAACAGACAAACCACCTGTCTGTACATATTCAAACAGACCAACCACTTGTCTGTGCACATATTCAAACAGACAAACCACCTGTCTGTACATATTCAAACAGACAAACCACCTGTCTGTACATATTCAAACAGGCAAACCACTTACACTAAACCGGATGGAGCTTGGGCTTTCTGTTCATGGTATTTCCGGACTTCCTCTGAAATAAAATAAACTGTACATAAGGCACCGAAGATTTGTATCTCATGGAATAGATGCTAGATATCAGAAGAATACATTACTCAACAGACTGAAGATTACTATCACATGTCAGACATTTCTCAACAATAGATTAATGTAAATTCATTAAGAAGAGCCTTGAGTGTTGGGAAATGAACAGGCAGATAGACTGGCTGTTTCTGTACCAATCAGTGTTGAATTTGTGCATGACAAGGTAGATGCGGTCAAGGCCGTTTGGAAGCAAGTGAACAATGAACAGACATCAACAGATCCTTTTGGTCAGGAGAGAATGGTCCAGCTGGCGGTGGCCAGGGAATCGGGTCTACACTCAGAGGAAAGGCCAGACGGACATAAAACCAAACTGCTACTGGCACCATTAGAATTAGAACTCTTTGCTGGTTGCTGAAGGTGAGGACAGAGCGCTTATGGAAATGTCCCGAGTGCTGTCATGTCAGTTCTTAGCTCAACACACAACACAGCGGAGATGTGGTTTCCGAGACATATGTTGAACATCATAGTCAACCAGAGTAAGTAAACACTGTCTGGAAAAGGCTAATCAAAGTAGATTTCTGTTTAACAGTAAAAAAGGCAGAGAACTAGTTTTGTGTGTGTGTGTGTGTTGATTATGTTATTTTCAACAACACAAAAGTGTAAAACATATCATGACTGCAAAAATCAATTATCAATTTTCCGCCTTGTGTCCTAATTCCTGAATACTAAAGTGCAAAACTACCCATCATAAATGGATATCACTGACACAAGAACAAAACAATTGCTGACAATGACCACTTGCAGGAAACACAGTCAATTCATCATCATGTAGCAGGTCCTTTGCAGAACGTCACTCTCATCAGTTTGCCTGAAACAAACTCGGTCTCTCGCCAGTTCTCCTGCCTCATATACCTTCATACTCAAGGAGTCACTTATATCATGTGCCCATCTTCGTGTCGGTCGGCCCCTGCCCCTCCTTCCTGGTACCATGCCTTCTGCTATAGTTTTTTCCAATCCATCGTGGCGCTTGATATGACCAAAATATTTCAGCTTCTCAGAAAGGATGCTGTTTATTAGCCAATCTTCCTTGATGTCCAGATCTTTTAAGATGTCAATATTTCTCCTCTTCTTTGTCCAAGATATTCTGAGAATCTTTCTATAGCATTTCAGCTCAAAAGCCCCTATTCTCTTTCTTAAGGACTGAGAGATAGTCCACGACTCACATCCGTATGTAGCCACAGGGAAGATGCATGCTCTCAAAATTCTAATTTTTTTCTCCTTGCTGGTGCTTAACCATAGACTTTTAAGGCTGTTCAATCTTTGCATTGCCAAGGCCATCCTCCTTTTAATTTCTGTTGAACTGTCTCCATTGCTGTTTATTATAGAGCCTAGATATTCAAAGTTTGTGACATTTTCAATTTCTTCATTATTTATTGTTATTTTTGGGTGACAGCCAGTTTTATCTGTGGACATTATTTTTATTTTCTTTAAATTCAAGAACAGTCAATTACTGCCTGAATATACATTTTCTGGAGCATAAGGGGTTGTGGGGGGCTTTGAGCCTGTGGATTTAGGGTTGCATGGCTAGTGTTGCTGCCACGGACTGTCCAGGGTAGGATTTTGTTTGTGTGGCCTGATAGTAAAAAAACTCCAAGGATCAGGCTCTGGGCCTCTGGTATGAGAGTCCAGCATTTCTAATCATTCAGCCCGATGCTTCCCCCCCCCCCTCTCTCTCTCTCTCTCTCTCTCTCTCACGTGCACACAAATACAAATGAGCAAAGGTCAACCTAACCATCCCTCAAAACTCAAAGATGGATTTTGCTGACACACACCAAGTATAATAACAACAAAAACAGCCGTACCTTTATTAATCGCAGCCTCCATGGGCACCGACAGGGACAAGCAATAATCTTCCCTGCGGGAGTATCGCACCTTCTTGGTTGCCGTACACATCACCCTCTCCTCCACCTGGAAGCGAAAGCAGTCACATGCGTTGGCTGACCCCCGGGAGTTTTTCTGTGGGGGGGAAATAATCAAACCATCACAACTGTCATGATATGGAGAATACTCTCCAGGCTCTGTGCTGTGGACAAAAGGAACTTCAGCCCCAGACTTTGCTACCACCGTGGGCTGTGGTTTTCATGTCTCATTATAGCAGAATATAAAAGTATCATCGCGAAAGATGGAAAGAATCAGGTCAAAATTCTTGTCTTGCCCCATCAATGTGGCCAATCCACGAAGTTATTTATCTCTTTGCTCTCCTCTTGCCCCTTTTCCATCAATCTTACCACTTTTTACCGAGTTCTCGAGTGCAATCACTCTCACATGTCCAGACAAGACAGTGATTGCCTTAACTGTTTTTAATAAGTTTACGACTGTCTTCTGTCTCCATAAAGATTTCTTGGTTGGTTTTCCTATCCTTCCATGATATTCTTTGTTTTTTTCTCAAAAACCACATCTCTACTGTGAGTAAATGTTTCTTTTTTTTTCAGTTTGTTTGTTTACAATAGCAAACTCAGTGGCTAAGTTTCTGATGAAGTAAATAGCAAAGGACTCTTTTCCACGCCGTATGACATATTTTGGAGACATGTTATCTCACATGCATATAACAACACAGATTCTACAGCACACTCTATCTCTTTTTCATGGTTAGAAATGACTTCACTCCCCCAAAAGAATGTGACATACCCATATCTTTACTAGATGCTCAAAGTTTTTTTGTGTGCAAATTATTCATAATTTATCTGTCACCCTTATGCAGCACAGGAGCAACAGGCCAAGCAATCAACACTCATGCAACGTTATACTAACAACCCCACACACCGCTGTAAAATCCGATCCCTCGTCCAGAATCAAACCTGCTCAGAAAAATAAGCCAGCATTGGAAACAATATGCTACTTGAAGAAACATCGCAGCTCAACAACACCAACCTCGACCAAGGACACAAGATGGAGGAAAAACTCCTGAGCATCCTGTTGTTTTTTAGTTGAAAACTCGGGATGACCTTTTCCGACCAGAGTTTTGAACATCTGAGGTCGGATACCAGAGGGAGGCTGCCAAATAAACACAAATTATAAATAAACAATCTTAAACATCAGATAAACAATAAATAAACAATCTTAAACATCAGATAAACAATAAATAAACAATCTTAAACATCAGATAAACAATAAATAAACAATCTTAAACATCAGATAAACAATAAATAAACAATCTTAAACATCAGATAAACAATAAATAAACAATCTTAAACATCAGATAAACAATAAATAAAACAATCTTAAACATCAGATAAACAATAAATAAACAATCTTAAACATCAGATAAACAATAAATAAAACAATCTTAAACATCAGATAAACAATAAATAAACAATCTTAAACATCAGATAAACAATAAATAAACAATCTTAAACATCAGATAAACAATAAATAAACAATCTTAAACATCAGATAAACAATAAATAAACAATCTTAAACATCAGATAAACAATAAATAAACAATCTTAAACATCAGATAAACAATAAATAAACAATCTTAAACATCAGATAAACAATAAAAAAACAATCTTAAACATCAGATAAACAAAGCAAGCAGAAAATGAGACAGGCTGCTTGTAAACTTTAGGAAACACATAAATTTAACCACCAAGAATGAATGAGACATGATGCTGTCAGACAGATAGTGGAACAACAATCTTGTATCAAATACACTAAACACCTCCTTTCTGTCATTCCAGACGATAGTGTTATATTGGGCTATGATGAGGCATGAAACTCACAGCCCATGGTGATGGCGAATGTGACTAGCAAGACCCGCCCACGTTAAGAAAAGTCTTCCACAATTATAACACTGGTTTCAGGACCATTGTTGTCAACATTTGTGTTTAGCCTGTTTCTGCTCAGACGCCCAGCTCTCTCTCAGCCTTTCTGCAGTCATTTCTTCCTTCATTCTCATTCCCTTCCCAACATGCCCCTCCACACAACACGGTCTATTGCATTTTGTTCTGATAAGTCCACCTCAATACCTGTATCATTCATGTCCTGCTTGCACACATCTTTATTTAGTAGTAGAAGTCGGCCTCGACACCTTTTGCCCATCTTTAATTCACTGACTGATTGAGTAGTTGACTGACTGACTGACTGATTGGTGATGATGATAATGAAGAAAAAGAAGAAGAAAGAGGAGGTGGAGGAGAAGAATAAGAAGAAGACTTGGTTTGGCTATCTTGTTAGAATGCAGCAACAGTTATCAACACAGACACTGAGACAGGAGCAAGAGAGCACCCTACAGACGATGGCCTGGTGACAATAAAGAAATTGTACATTTACACAAAAAAGACAACGGCCAATGCAACACAACAACATCAGACCATTCTTTCCTATAAAACTCAATAAGGCAACAGCCGAAGATGATGACGATAGTGAAAATGTTGAATTAAGAATCAATATCATAGCACTCTGGACACTCCCATAAACGCTCTATCCCCATCTTTAGCAGCAAGCCAAGATTTCCAATTCTGATAGTACCAGTAACCGTCTGACTGTACATCCGCCTCGCCATCAACTTGAGTGTTGAGCGTCGGCCAGATCCCCTGTCACTCCCCGCAGCACGATTTTCCTCAGACTGTGATGACCTATTTGTGCCTCAGCATTGTTCACTTTCTCCCAAAAGGTTTTGACCACAACCAGCTTCTCAAACATCACTACACCATCTAGTGATGCGGAACCAGCCAATCTCTCTGCTCGTTTGTTGTTCCCAGCACAAAGGATACAAAATAAATGAACAGAGAGAGAGAGAGAGAGAGAGAGAGAGAGAGAGAGAGAGAGAGAAGCAGAAATTGGAGCTAAAGTTACAGACGGCTAAACAGAGAAGAGAGCTTAAATGACAACACTGTCCTACTTACAGGAAGGTAATGTGGGGTGGTTTTATTCTGCTCTGACTGGGACTCCTCTCTGAAAGGAAGAAAATTTAAAAGCATCATTCTAAATTATATGCTGCAATCCATGAACTGAAATGACATGCGGTTTGTAGTTATGTGAGCCACACCAATAGATATAGTTGATATTTTAGCATCGTGGCTAGAATACTTGCCAGTCCGCCTGGTGATGAGCCTTCCCTTTGCTCTTGTTCAATTTAAACTTGCTGGTTATTACCAAGTTCTTATGTATATTTTTCTTCATAACATGTCCAAATTTGGCTGTTGACGTCCAATTTCTCTAATCAATTTCAGGTTCTTATATGTCTTGAGTCGGCTCTGTGGCTAAGTAGATGCTAACGCTTCGTAATGCCGGGGTGCCGAGTTCTATCCCAGCTGCAGGCCATGCGCCTTGTGCTGGTTTTGACAGTGGTATCAGGGGGCCGACCATCCAGAAAGCAATGGCAAACTAGTGGATGTAACTTTGCTTAGAGAAACCACACAACAGCCAGGGGCTGCTGGGGTTGGTTCTGCAACGTCCTGTAAAGGATACACAACTAACCAGAACCAGATATGTCTTGAGCAGGACTTCCTCATTTCTCGTTATACCATCCCCCGATATTCTGTGCATTCTTCTCAAAAACTACATATCCACAGTGAGTACGTGTTTCTGAGCTTGTCAGCTTGCTGTCCATGTCTCACATCCACACAACAACACAGGATCTATGTAGCACTTTACCACTATTTTTTGCCTCCCTCACTGCAACTGACACCGTGAAATCACGACTACTAGAATCTTACAAAACTAGAAGCCCACACTTTAGAAAATAACAGGCAGTATGCGTTCTGAAAGGGTAGAAAGCATTTGAAAAATCGGACTTAACATCCCTCGCCTGGATCTACACGCCTGTTCATGCTGATGTAAAGGGTAACGAGCGAGCAGATCAACTGGCAAGCTAGGCACCAAGGCATGTGGGAAGAAGTATGGACAGAGCAGATATTGTCAACGCTGTACGGACTGGGCTAGTGGATAATTATGCATCTCTGACACTAACACGATTGCGTGTCACGGTAGTGAAGCATGGTGAAGGGCATCTATACTGCTTTTGAGGCCGAGATAGGCAACATTATAAGCAACCACTCACGGAGAGAATTAGCAGAAGTACCTATGAAATGGCTGCTGCTAACACAGGAATGCCCAACATGTTGGCCCGTCGATTGTGATAACATTACATAATTTATAATCCAATTTTTTTTTTTAAACTGTGCATACCTGTTCTTGGAATATTCCCCGGACAGCAAGCCAAATGCCAACTTTGTCCTGAAAGTCAATAAAAAATAACATGAACTTTCCAACAGTCTTCACAAGTCCCAAGTGCATCCATGATACCAGGCTAGATTTATATCTTTACAGACCAATCAGCTCTCGATGGGTGATGTGGTCCGCATCATGCCGGCCACCTTTACTTCCCAGGAATTTATCTGGGACCCATTTAAGGCTGAGTTGACCTAGGAGCCAAGGTCAGGTTTGAAACAAAAAAACCTGGCTCCATGTGGCTGTGAACCCAGGACCTTTGGATAGATCTGCTATACCCAACAGGAATGAGTAGAAGTCACAGAACAGTACAGAATACTGCCTGACATCACTGACTATGGTGCCACCACTTTACTCTGAGACGTGTCAGCATCACCAGATGATATGTTAACTGCTCTGCCATCATTCAGTTTATCACCACAATCCATTGCTAATCTGCTTTCCCCAAGAGCCCCACTAGCTAGCAAGTTCAATCATCTTACATCCATGCCCCGGTTCAAATGTGAAAGTGACTTTTATTGAGCAATGGCTTTATCAGAAAGGAAGCCACCATGGTGTAGTGGCTAGCCACTCGCCTGCAAATCCTAAGGTCATGTGCTGAAATCTGAACAGAACCTGACTTTTAAAATGATTTGGCTCTCAGGTCGACCTAGCCTTAAATGGGTACCAGGAAAAGTCCTGGGAAACAAAGGTGACCAGTGTGATGTTGATGACAACACCCACCCAAGTGCCACTGGTCTATAAAATACAGGTCTAGCACTATGTGTGAAATACGCCTTAAGGTGCGGAAAAGGGTCCTTTGCTAATTACTTCACCAGAAACTCAGCCACTGTGGTCAAAGCTGGCCTTTCATTGCAAGGTCTCACCCAGTTTAAGGAACAAAGCAGTTTTCTGACTGGTTTAACAATGGATAGACAAGACAACATATGAAGCAAAACTACTACTACCCTTTATATTCCAATCAAAAGTAAAGGAACCAAAAATTAGGAAGTGTGATGTGTTTCTTCTTCTGTTACTTCTGGTGTTCCTTCTTCTATTACTTCTGCTCTGATGATAACTAAAGATGATAGTGTTGCATCGTGCTATAGGGATGCTTTGTCACGCCTTAAGTGTATATGGCATATAGGCTATACCTATATTTTATAGACCAGTCGGAACTTGGCTGGTAATGTGGTCAGCATCACACTGTCCGTGTTTACTTCCCAGGACTAAGATGTAGTCACTATGGCAAGGAGATCAAGAGTTGCGAAGAAGCATGATCACCACAGCCGTCAGCAAAGCATGTGATGATAATGGTGATGATGATGATGAATAATAACAAAATTATAACTGCGATTACTAACATCTGCGTGTTGAAATCAGCCACTGGGTTTGCTGGTGCGTTCAGAACAATTTTATCAGCGACGCTAAAATATCTGTGAAGATAAAGAACAATAAACAGAAAATGATTAAATAATATCAACAGCAAAACCATAAAGAGGACAAGATAATTTAAAAAACTGTACAATATTGCTGTTACTGTACACAGTGAGGAACTAGATTTAAAATTGAACTGTAAGACAACAGTAATTATGCTTCATGCAGCTTTATGCAGTATTATCTTCAATAGCACAAATTCTCAATGTATATACTTATGTCTCCTTGACAGGTCTCTCTGTGGTGTACTGTCTGGTGCTAGCCCTGACACATGTCCAAACCATTTCATCTGTTGTCTCCCAATGTAGTGCCGGAGTCGCCTTGACGTAGCGGCTAGACGCTCCCGTACAGATCAAAACGTCGTGGGTTCGCTCCCTGGCGGAGCCGGACTTTTTTTTTTTAAATGACCTTGACTCCCAGGTCGACCCAGCCTTGAGTGGGTACCGGGTGCAGTCCCAGGAAGTAAAGGCGGCCAGGGTGATGCTGACCACATCACCCATCTTGTGCTGATTGGTCTTTATATATGCCCTATACGCCTAATGGGACTTTTTTTTTTTTTTTACTTCTGATGTAATGTAATACTGGTTCCATCCGAACTTCTTTCCTGATATTGTCATTTCTGATTTTGTTTCTACTAGTTGCATTTAGAATTCGCTGTAGATATTTCATTTCTGTTGTTTAAATTTTTAAAAAGTTGTTGTTAATGTCAATGTCTGGTACGTATAATACAATGTTGGTACAAACTACTGTATTGAGCAGTGCTCTTTAGGTGTCAGTTGTCACATGTTTGTTCTGCAAAACTGGTGACCTTCGTCCCAAGATTTGATTTGCTTTATTACCTCTGTGATTTGTCTCCACTTGGATTATTCCACTGGATGATATCCTCCCTAGACATGTGAAGTCCTTTGGTTGCTTGAGGTTAAGGATTTCTATGCATATCTTGATTGATTCTGTTCCGGCAATGGCCATAATTTCTGGGTTTTTCAATGCTAATTTTCATGTTTGATGCTTAAGCTGCTTTGTTAAGATTACCTAGTTGTCACTGCAGCTCTTCCTCTTGATCGTCTGCAAAAAAGAGTTCACTGCACTTATTGTCCTCATTAATTTGGGATGTCTGCTGATCTGATCTACATCTGTGATAAATCCTTGATTGTAAACAGAAATTCTCTGTCATTCCGGCCTCTGAATTGTAAACAGAAATTCTCTGTCATTACGGCCTCTGGACTGTAAACAGAAATTCTCTGTCATTACCGCCTCTGGACTGTAAACAGAAATTCTCTGTCATTACGGCCTCTGGACTGTAAACAGAAATTCTCTGTCATTACGGCCTCTGGATTGTAAACAGAAATTCTCTGTCATTACGGCCTCTGGATTGTAAACAGAAATTCTCTGTCATTACGGCCTCTGGACTGTAAACAGAAATTCTCTGTCATTACGTCCTCTGGACTGTAAACAGAAATTCTCTGTCATTATGGCCTCTGGATTGTAAACAGAAATTCTCTGTCATTACGGCCTCTGGATTGTAAACAGAAATTCTCTGTCATTTCAGCCTCTGGATTGTAAACAGAAATTCTCTGTCATTACGGCCTCTGGATTGTAAACAGACATTGTCTGTCATTACGGCCTCTGGATTGTAAACAGAAATTCTCTGTCATTACGGCCTCTGGATTGTAAACAGAAATTCTCTGTCATTACGGCCTCTGGTTTGTAAAAAGAAATTCCCTGTCATTACGGCCTCAGGATTGTAAACAGAAATTCTCTGTCATTACGGCCTCTGGATTGTAAAAAGAAATTCCCTGTCATTACGGCCTCAGGATTGTAAACAGAAATTCTCTGTCATTTCAGCCTCTGGATTGTAAACAGAAATTCTTTGTCATTACGGCCTCTGGATTGTAAACTGCAATTCTCTGTCATTACGGCCTCTGGATTGTAAACATAAATTCTCCGTCATTATGGCATTTGTTCTCACAAAACTTTGGCAACTCTAATATATACATTTACATATGTTTACCAGATGCTGGCCGACTCCAAAAGCCCTTAGTGTTTTCCAAAGTAGTTGACGGTGGACTCGATCTTTTGTCCTTCCCTGTCCCAAATAACACCTAGTGAACAAACAATTCTTCTTCTTATAGTCTAGGCCTTGTGGCACTGGTAGTCATGTTTATCCACAACCTTCTTTCTCTTATTTTTTTTTTATAGTCCATGCCGTGTGGTGTTGGCAGTCATGTCTATCTTCTCCCTTGGTCCCCCTCTGTTCCTTTTTTTACTCTAATTTTCCACCGTCATGTTGTATTCCAGTCTTCTCCTTCTCAATAGATGACATAAACAAACAAACAGTACCGGCAAAATCCAGAAACATGCACATGTCATAAATATATAAGGCAGTCACTAGAGTTGCCAACACCAGCAGTCACTCCTAGAATTGCAATTTGTTGTTAACAGAAGTAGTCAGGAATGACAGGTTGCCCATACACATACAATATTAATACAGAAGGTACTAGCCAGCCCAAATGCAAATTGTCCACCAGCCATATTTACAATATAACAACACAAGCTGCTGTGCCCACAGACAAAAGGCATTCCACATGAAATGCACAGCTCGCAGTAAAGCACCAAACACACAACTCAGTAGCTAGGGCAACAAAACTGTGGATCTAGTCAATATGGGAAGAAAACGCTAGCAACACCATAGCCAGGTGCAAACAACACTTCAAAGAGTTAATGGACTGCTGGTCTAACTACGTACTGGACCAAAAGTCCAGTAGCCAACATGGTTTATTTATCGACCAAGATCCTTTACATAGCCACAGAAACATAAAATCAATTTAAACAAGAAGCCAAACTAATTAGGCTTCCCTAAAAAAAATACTACACATGACAAAACGTACAATGCGACTAGGAAGCCTTCATCAGCACACATAACAGCATAGCATATAAAAGATGACAGGCAAGGAACCAACAGTCTGCGCACAAATAAACCAGATGTTTGAAATGGATGCGCATGCAACGCTCAGATTCTGGAACAAGCCGAAAGTCTAGGAGTTTGCAAACAACCAGAACTTTCTGCCAGAGTTGACAGTCGACGAATGCTAAGAAGAAAAAGATGATGTATTCAAAAATGTCCAAAGATATTAACCTACCTCTTCTGGAAGTCAGGAATGTTGAAGAGGACTTGCAGCACAGAATTCATGTAGCAGCTGTTGCCCAGGTTACGTATGCCCGTATAGCCCGGCCCATACAGCGGTTTCAGCTGACTGCCGGCCTCCTGGATCACGTCCCACTCCCCAATCTTTTGGTTGATGTCGATCTCCAGCTCCGTCATTGTCTTGTCTGTCTACAGGGGAGGCAGCAATGGATGACAGCAGTCAGACATCACCAGACATCACCAGATAGTAAATAAGACAAAGCAGAGCCGGTTCCAGAAAAGTTAGTTGCATACTCTTCCCATAATTCTGCAAAACCAATCTCAGCATTTGTTGGCTATTTGTGGCTTTTTTCACTAGGAATTTAATGTTTAGTAGTTTGCCATTGTTTACTGAATGGTCTTCTTCTTAGTATTCACCAGCTACAAACTCTGACAGAAAGTTCAGGCTGTTTGTCCACTTTTGAACTTTGGTCTCTGGTTGTTCATCCACTTCTGAACTTTGGTCTTCTTCTAGAACATAAGTTATGTGTGCACATTTGTTTTACAGATCTGGCTTTTTTGTGCAGACTGTTAGTTCCTCGACTCTCAGGCAGACATACACAGACTTCAAAAGAAACATCTATAGCCTCCAACAAAATGCTTAAGAGGGGGGCAATGGGTCTACTCCCCCCCCCCCACACACACACCCACAGTAAGGTTCTAGAATCCACACTGGAAACCAAATGGTCGACACTCCATGCCAGTCAAAACAAATGCAAAGCCATCAGCTGTCAAATTACTTGTAGCAGAACAGAACTGGGTATTCAGAATTATGAAGAGCATGTGCAACCCATAGTCCACAAGTACAAGTTCTATTACAGTTTCTGAAATGTCAGACCATTATATATTCTAGGCAATGACATATGAAGTGGGTTAGCCAGTTCCTATCCTCATCGCCTTTCTTTCCCAGACATGTCTAAAAAAAAATTATATTTTCACAAGGCTGTGTTTGACTCCAGAGCCATAATGGTAAAACAAATGCTGCGACTTCTACTACAAACTGCTATTAGGAGTGTTCATTTGAAGCCAATCCCACGGCACCACATGCAACTGTGTGCACTGAACATGAGCATGTGACAGTCATGTGTTAAGTACTGACCAACATGCTTACTGTCACATAAAGCAAAGGTTTCATTTCTGATCGTTTAGAAAATGGGCGGGTTGATCCAAAATCCACTAAAGGTGCTCAAAAAGCAGTGATTCAAGAACGTGAACCAGTGGATATAGTAGTAGAATGTAGGATGTGTACGGTAACTAGTGTGTGTCGAAAATAACAGTCAGAGACTGGCCACAAATATTTTTGAAATAATGTAAGTTTACAATAGACATTCCAGGGCAGGGTCAAGTTCATTTTGTTGCAGCAGACAAGAAACACCCTTAACCTTGATGCAGTAATACAGGTGGTGAACCATTGTTGAAGAATGTGTTTGCTAATAATAGAATTTGATGTGTCAGTTGCGACAGTTGGAAAAAACCTGCAATATCGGAAGGTGTGTTTATTGTGGGTACTATGAGGATGTTGACAAAGTGTGGTTCATGAGTAACCACAATCTCCCCCTTTTTTTGTGCAGACGGCATTCGCTGCCTACCGAAGCAATGAGATGATTGATGCATGCCTATAGCAACTTTCTTCTGACCAAACTTTGTTGCATAAAACATTCAAATTAAATGCTTTGTTTAATGATGCCACACCTGCTGATGTTTTGGGGTCATAAAGCCATTGAAACAGATTTCAAATGAATGCTCCTTATACAATAACCACTCTTCCCAACATGGCTCAGGGAGGAAGTAAAGGCGGCGGTAGTCCCATAGCAGATACTACAACTGGGATGTGAAGGTTTGGACCTTTACAGACTAGGTAAAGACATATGAGATGGGGTGGCTAATTCCTTTTCTCATAGCTTTTCCTTCCAAGGCTCAGCCTTAAAAGAGCATGTTGGTAAGTTGCACTGTGGCTTAAAGCTAGGCTGTGACAGCTGTATTTTTTTTGGCCCAACTCATCCGATTTCAGCAGGCTGCTAATTAGTTGCCTTTTATGACATGCTTGCTGGGGAGCTTGGGTCTATTCACCCCCCCCCCCAACCCAATAAAGGTGTCCCAAAACCCACCTGGTGGGGGTGGGAGGGAGGCGGGGAATCAGTTCTCTATTTTTTTCAGTGGGATGTGTCTACACACTGTTTGCAAAAACAAAGAAACTACCACTTCTTGGAAAATGACCCCAAGCTACTGTTTCCAAAAGTTAAACAGAATTCACTACTTGGTACATACAGGATTATAACATCTCTGTAGCAGGTGGCCAAGCAGTTAACATCAGACATGTAGGAGACCTAGGTTTGAATGCCTGGTAAACAGTGATGGATTTGTTCCTGCTGGAAAAAGCCTAACAATCTTCACCCAAAGGCCCATGGTAACTGCACTAGCTAATGACCCTTTATCCTTAGGCTCAAAACCTCCCCCCCCCCCCCTCTAATCTTACGCCACCCTAAAAAGTGGTACAACAGCCAGGTGAGATATTTATTTTTTATTTCTATGTAAAACAGATGGGGCATCCGTGGCTAAGGCGTTGGGAGCCCGACTCATAATTCCAACGTACTGTGATCAAAATTCACTGCTGGCTGCATGGATTTTTATCATGGTACGGGGCGTCGTAGGTGGACCCAGCCTAAAGTGGGTACCAGAATGTATGTCCAGGGAAAGTAAAGACGGCCAGTGTAATGCATTACCCACAAAGTGCCGAGTGGTCTGTAAAAATATGGGTGCTCTTCCCATATAAACGATGCACCTAAGGCATGAAAGGGGATCTTTACTTTTTTTTATTTTTTTTATTTATGCAAAACAGATATTTTCATTCATTCTATTAGCTAAGTTTGCAGAAAACAAAGCCAAGATAAGGTAATTCTTGTACCTTTTCCAGAGCAGCAACATTGATACCGAAGTGTGCTAGATGTTTTGCCAGGTAAGGATCTTCCACCATATCATCTTCATCGTAGGAAAACACATCTGAGAACAGAAAAAGGTAGTTTTACATGAATCTTCATAATCACATTTTTTTTTTTTACAGAAAACACATCTGAGAACAGAAAAAGGTAGTTTTACATGAATCTTCATAATCAGTTTTTTTTTTTACAGAAAACACATCTGAGAACAGAAAGTGGTTGTTACATGAATCACTTTCATAGGAAAACACGTCTGAGAACAAAAGAAGGTCTTTACATGATATAAGCTGTCTGGTAGAAGAAACTTTTTATTCTAATTCTCAACATCACCACATGATTCCTATTAGGGTAGAATTTTTTCTCAGAAAAAAACACAACGAATAACCCTATGCTGTAAGCAAACCTAGCCTAACATGAGTGTTGGCATGGCAACAGTGTGAAGCTGATCCTACTGCCCATCAACGTCACAACTTAAATCTAATTATGAAGCCGTGATTATACAAATATTTCAGCTGTGGCTGAAACACCTCCACTAGTGGCAGCAACAGTTCCCAGAAATACCTCCACTAGTGGCAGCAACCATTTCCAGAAATACCTCCACTAGTGGCAGCAACCATTCCCAGAAATACCTCCACTGCAGCAGCAACAGTTCCCAGAAATACCTCCACTAGTGGCAGCAACCATTTCCAGAAATACCTCCACTAGTGGCAGCAACCATTCCCAGAAATACCTCCACTGCAGCAGCAACAGTTCCCAGAAATACCTCCACTAGTGGCAGCAACAGTTTCCAGAAATACCTCCACTAGTGGCAGCAACAGTTTCCAGAAACACCTCCACTAGTGGCAGCAACAGTTTCCAGAAGCTTCCCTTTTTTCCCCCTCTGCACCAATCAACAGTTACATAGCACCATCCCCTCCCAACTGTAGCAAACAAGTTACCTTCCCTCCCTCCCCTTAGTAGCAACAGGTTACTTACCTCCTCTCCCTCGTGTAGCAAACACGCGTGCGCCCTATTACTTACCTCCCCTTCCCACATGCAGTATCAAGTTACTTACCACCCCTACCCACATGCAGTATCAAGTTACTTACCTCCTCTCCCTCTTGTAGCAAACATGTGTGTGCCCTATTACTTACCTCATCTCCCTCCTGTAGCAAACACGTGTGTGCCCTATTACTTCCCTTCCCTTCCCACAAGCAGTATCAACAGTTGCTTACCTCCACTTGTGGCAGTAATAGTTCCCAGTTTCACAGCCAAGGGGTACTTGACCTGCTGGTAATGCTCCATGGCATGGTTATTCCCCCCTGATCCATCAAAGAAGCGGCGGCCACACAGGATGGACCCATCGGTCAAGTTCAGCCACAGGTTAGTGGTCAGATCACACCTCTCACACCTCCAACCTGAAGGAGGGATCTTCTTGCCAGTGCTGAGCTGCTGCAGGTTCTCCGCATGCCTGGTGTCCCCAAAGAAATTTGTAAACTCAATTATTTTCAATAATCCTTTGGTGACAACGAATGAATGAATTGAGAATTGACACCACTGTACTCTATACATTCCCACAGATGCTCAGTCTCCTTTCTCAGTAGCTAATGAAAAGTCCCATCCAGAACCTCCATTCATCCCCTCCTGAATCAATCTTTCAAGGTATGGACAATGTGTTCTGTTGCCTTTTTTTTTTACCTGATCCTAGCGAGGCTTCTGTGTATGTATGGGTAACTGTATACGTTTGTGTGTATGTCTCTGTGTGTGGGCGTGTGTCTGTGTTGTCTGTATGGTGTCTGCGTGCGTGTCTGTAGGTGTGCCTGTGAGCATGTCTGTTTTTGTGTCTCTGTGTTGGTTCGTCCATGTGCGTGTATGTGTGTCTGTAAGCGTGTCTGTGTGCGTGTCAGTCTGTGTTGTGTGTCTGTGTGTGTGTTTTTGTATGTGTATCTGTATGTGTGGTTGCGTGTTTCTGTGGGGGTGTGTCTGTGTGTGTTTGTATGTGTATATGTGTGGGTGTGGCTGCATGTTTGTCTGTGTGTGTGTGTATGTCTGTGTGTATCTATGTTGTGTCTGTAGGTGTTTCTGTGTGTGTGTCTATGCCTGCGTGTGTCTGTGGCTGTGTGTTGTTTCGTATGTATTTGTATGTTCATCTTTTTGATAATGTTTGTGTGTGTGCGAGTATTTGTGCGTCTGTGGGTGTGTTAGTATGTGTTTGTGTATGTCTTTGTGTGTCAGTGTGTTGTGTGCCATTATGTGTCTGTAGGTGTGTGTGGCCGCATGTGTATCTGTGTCTGTCTGTGGCTTTGTGTGTATCTGTGTGAGTCTCTATCAGTGTGTCTATTATATGTCTGCGTGTCTCTGCTTGTGTCGGTTTATGCGTCTGCGTGTATGTCTGTGCGCGTATGCGTGACTATGAGTCTACGTGTGTGTCTGTGTGTTTCCCTGCCTGCGTGTGTGTATGTGTTGTGTGTGTGCCCGTGTGGGAAGTGAAAGAGTTAAAGAAAGTAACTAGGGAAAAAAACTGTAACAGCTTATTGTAAAGGGATAAACAGCAGCCCTGAAAATGCATTTAGGTATATTTTACCAAAACTGCTTTTCAGTGATTTTGGCGTCGTGCAATTTACCCTTTAGGTGACTTTAGTGTAATGTTTGGTACTTGGTCTAAAAATATGGCAGTTTGTAAATAAAAATATAGAATTTGATCTTAAAAACTGTGCATTTGATATATACTAAAAATTGGCATTTGGTTTACAAAAATTGACATTTATTAATAAAATATGGCATTTATCTACAACAATATAGTAATTGGTATAAAAGTATGGCATTTTGTCTATACAAATATGATATTTGTTCCGCAAAGATATGGCTTATTTTTTTTTAAATCACGTCCCGTAAATAAAAAACTTTGTCTACAAAAATTGCGTTTGTCTAAACAGATATGGTATTTGGTCTATAAAACTACAGATCTAGCATCATATCTGCAAACTGTTTCAAGTAAGAGAGAAAGAGCCCTTGATAGTTTTTGTTAACTCTTTTGAGTCCCAAGGAACGTGTCATATGTTCAAAAATTCCTACCTAGAAGCCAAATGAACGCAAGATGCGCTGATTTTACGTCTTTCTTGACTACCCCTTGGGCCTCTGATACCAAACCCCCTGGGACTCAAAGAGTTAAAACTATGATGTGGAGCATACAACTGGCCAAACACAAGTATACTGAATGAATTTTTATATGTACTTTGAAATCCTAAGCTTCTCGCCCTCCCAAGTTCCTGCCATTGCTGCAGCTTCTTCTTGCTTGGCCGCATCTTCCGCCATCATGATCATAGTTGCAGACAGCTGGACCTGTAAAGTGAACAATGTGAACAAGTCATAACATCTTCCTTTTCTCTCTGTGTGCGTGCGTGTGTGTCACTGTGCGATGATAGGGTGACCACCATATCTTTAGCTAAAACAGGGACATCTCACTAACTTTTATCTAGCTGAAAACAGGGACATTTCACTAACTTTTATCTAGCTGAAAACAGGACATCTGAAAGCAAGTCAGTTTACACCACCCTCCCTTCCATTTTTCTTTTGAGATCATCCCAGTGAAAAAAAATTAGTTATTCGCTCTACAATGGTATTATCAAAACCTGAACCACAGTAACCAAGAAATTAACAAAACTATATGCTTCTCAACTACACGAGAAAACAATGATACAATGAGAATTCCCATTGCAGATTTTTCACGTTAAAAGAACCTAAAACTATGAAATCTAATAAAGTCCCCAAATTCAATTATAAAGATATGTAGTAGCATTCTTGTCTTAAATCGTGAATACCTAATTACTGCAAGAGATAAACTCCAATCTTCATAACCTTATTTCATCAAATAAATTGTCTCAAGAGCACTTCTCCGAGAAACAGAATCAATGTTCATCCTTGACTCCATGCTGCACACGTAACACAGCAAATTTCACTTGCTAAACAACATGGTGAGTGACTTGTCAGCTGCTGACTGGATGGTGTTACAATTTTACCAGACTACAGATAAAGGCTGCCTGATTGGATGACATGCTTTGTTTTATATATGGTGTTTTCGTCACATTGGATGACATGCTTTGTTTTATGTATGGTGTTTTCGTCACACTGGATGACATGCTTTGTTTTATGTATGGTGTTTTCGTCACACTGGATGACATGCTTTGTTTTATGTATGGTGTTTTCGTCACACTGGATGACATGCTTTGTTTTATGTATGGTGTTTTCGTCACACTGGATGACATGCTTTGTTTTATGTATGGTGTTTTCGTCACATTGGATGACATGCTTTGTTTTATGTATGGTGTTTTCATCACATTGGATGACATGCTTTGTTTTATGTATGGTGTTTTCATCACATTGGATGACATGCTTTGTTTTATGTATGGTGTTTTCGTCACATTGGATGACATGCTTTGTTTTATGTATGGTGTTTTCGTCACATTGGATGACATGCTTTGTTTTATGTATGGTGTTTTCGTCACATTGGATGACATGCTTTGTTTTATGTATGGTGTTTTCGTCACATTGGATGACATGCTTTGTTTTATGTATGGTGTTTTTGTCACATTGGATGACATGCTTTGTTTTATGTATGGTGTTTTCATCACATTGGATGACATGCTTTGTTTTATGTATGGTGTTTTCATCACATTGGATGACATGCTTTGTTTTATGTATGGTGTTTTCGTCACATTGGATGACATGCTTTGTTTTATGTATGGTGTTTTCATCACATTGGATAACATGCTTTGTTTTATGTATGGTGTTTTCATCACATTGGATTACATGCTTTGTTTTATGTATGGTGTTTTCATCACATTGGATGACATGCTTTGTTTTATGTATGGTGTTTTCGTCACATTGGATGACATGCTTTGTTTTATGTATGGTGTTTTGTCACATTGGATGACAGGCTTTGTTTTTTGTATGGTGTTTTCATCACATTGGATGACATGCTTTGTTTTATGTATGGTGTTTTCATCACATTGGATGACATGCTTTGTTTTATGTATGGGGTTTTCGTCACATTGGATGACATGCTTTGTTTTATGTATGGTGTTTTCATCACATTGGATGACATGCTTTGTTTTATGTATGGTGTTTTCATCACATTGGATAACATGCTTTGTTTTATGTATGGGGTTTTCGTCACATTGGATGACATGCTTTGTTTTATGTATGGTGTTTTCATCACATTGGATAACATGCTTTGTTTTATGTATGGGGTTTTCATCACATTGGATAACATGCTTTGTTTTATGTATGGTGTTTTCATCACATTGGATAACATGCTTTGTTTTATGTATGGGGTTTTCGTCACATTGGATGACATGCTTTGTTTTATGTATGGTGTTTTCGTCACATTGGATGACATGCTTTGTTTTATGTATGGTGTTTTCGTCACATTGGATGACATGCTTTGTTTTTTGTATGGTGTTTTCGTCACACTGGATGACAGACTTTGTTTTATGTATGGTGTTTTCGTCACAATAACATGAGTCTCATTATTTCACTGTATCTAACTGTAATTTGTTTTTACTCAGAATTGTTGTTCATTCATCGTAAGTGATAAAGACCCCTCTGTCTCTCCTCTGTTATGATACTATAGTTGACTAAATGTGAGTCTGTAGGAGACTTATAAGACCAGTGCAGATCAAGGACAATGAGGACAGGAAACATCATCTGTAGATATTTTTATTTGTATTTATTAGTTTTTTAAGTATCCAGAAACCAAGAGTTGTAAACCCTTTGGCTCAGTACTATGGATATCGCAACCCTTCAGCCTTTGATTTCATGATAGATACCATAAATCGGTGAGGAATGTGGCTTTTCTGCCTCCCCCCCCCCCCCCCCCCCCCCCCCCCCCCCCCCCCCCCGGCGTGAACCTAGACCACAAGTTCGTCACCCGGTCGCTGCAGAGGGTTTTAACCAACTGCGCTAGCGAGTCGGGCGTATCTGTAGATAAAGGGCCTGTTTTAGGGTCTTTCTAGCCTGTCTTTGCTGTTCAGCTGCCCTTTTACTGGATGCCTCACAGGTTGCTGCCCTTCTTTGGATAGATGTTCACTACGTAGTCCAGTCTTGTGCAGCAGCCTTCCAAGTTTCAGGGTTTGTACCGAAGGCTTTAAGTGATACCTTTAGCGTGTCCTTGACACGTTCTTTTCTGGCGGCCTCGAAGGTGTCTACCTTCTTCTATCTCACCACAAAAGCTTAAAATTACAAATGGCATGTAAACACAAAATGAAAACCATAATATCATATGGGCTTGACTTTATACCTGATCTGGTATCCCATCACTGGGGTAAGGGATCTCAAACCACTGTGGGAGTACAACAATGGATGCCCTCTCTTCAAACTCAAACCTCTTCTCATCTGTTTGAAATCCACCCTCCACGCCTGCGAAACGGAAAAAAATTGTGACGGCCATTAATAATAAACAGGTAATTAAATACATATATACCTTTCTCTCTCTCTCTCACATATAAAGATTTATAGTTACAATGGTGAAACTTTGTCTTCTAAGTTCATCCTTAAAAGGATGACTGGTACATTGTGTTGTGGTTTATAGCTAGGCTGCAATATCATCCCAACATATCTGATTGTGGCAAATTCTTAACTAGCTACCTTTCTCAGCATGCTTAACTCTTTCAGCAACAATAACTCATTATGCGTTTATTGGAGTTACTTAACATGCTCTTCCTTTCTGAGCACCAGCTGTTCTATAGTGTTATTATTTGGATGATAGCAGACCAACACACCATTAGTTACCTAGCTACTGCTTAGGGAATTAGCAGTTAAGAAAGGGTTTTTGGGTGCGAATGAACAGTGCCAAGGCACAGTCTGAGGAGAACGGTGCTGCAAGCAGTGACCAAGGGATCTGGCTGAGGTTCAACACTCAGGGAAAAGGAAAGACGGATATATAGTCAGACTCCTACTTAAAATATCAGAACTGGAACTGTGCGCTTGCTGCTGAGGATGGGAATGGAGCGCTTATGGGAATGCTCCCAGTGCTGTGATGTTGATTCTAAATTATACATTGAGTCAAGGAAACACAAGCCTGGGGATGAAAGAATACAGGAGCAGTGATTTCCCCCCCAAAATGGGACCTCAGAACCCACTCCAGGACAATGCTGAAACAAACAAAACAAACAAACAAAACAAAAAACAAACAAATAAATAAATAAAAAAAGTCATTATAGTTAGTCAGAAAATTATCAATATGCTGTAACTTCTGAAACAGATCTTCCTCCGTGCCAATATGTAACATCTTTCCTCCTGGTCTGCTCATACCTCTCTTCCCCTCTGCCTTTCCTGTTGACAAAAATGTACTTTTAATTTTACTTTAAAATGATCCCCTTCTCATGACAAGTCAAAAGATGGACAACGAAAGTTTAACAGAAACTGGTTTTATTAGACTGTCACATCTCTTACAAACACTCACCAATTGCAAGTTTGGAGGGCTTTTCTGCAGCAAGAGTTTCATCTTTTGGAATCTGTAATTATGAAAATCACAAAGGTAATGTATGTGAGAGTCATGTAGATAGATACGCTCAAGGTACACACTACCTCTTACCCAGGCCTCAGCCCTGCAGCATGCGATATGAGGAAGAGGCACTGCATACCTCGTAGGAGTATCTAAGGTCTGATTATTCTTCAATCACACATACAAGTTGCATTTATAGATCAAGAAAAAGCATTTGACTGAGTGGACAGGAATATATTGTGGGATTGCTCAAGAAGATATGGAATCAGCAAACATCTAACTGAAGTCTGTAAGAGCTTATATACATCAAGTAGAAGCTGCATAAAAACAAAAGCAGTTATATTGCAACCTTTTGAAGTAAATTCAGGACTCAGACAGGGATGTGTGCTATTTCCAGAAGACAGTTTATAGAAGCAACCTAACAGACATGAACATCAACTTGTACAATGCATTGGGAAAAGCACACAAACGATCCTTATATCTGCCCCCAACACCTCGCTGAGGTAAATGATGGAAGAGAAGAAGAAGAAGACACATACAAGAGTTCCCTCAGGCTAAAAGGACTGCTAGGTTCTTTCAGGAGAATAAAGAGCAACGCCACTAGGAACACAAGTCAGGCACACGTGAAAGGTTGTATCGTGACCATGTACACTGCATAAGAACACTATAATATATCATTCAAGTGTGTTCTGACAATGTTGCCTAGGCCAATCTAGCCTAAGCCTGGGAAGGCTAACCTGGACAAGTGCCTGAAGAAGTCTGATGTGGTACTAGCTGAAAGTTGCAAATACTGCAGCCATGCTATAAAGGGACTCAATGCAATTACATCCTGAGATATAGATTATCCTCACCGGAGCTACAGAGTTTGTGTGTCCGTGCTGAGATCGGATGCAGCAACATCTAGAAGGTACTGAAGGAGGAGAGGACGAAGGGAATGTCCGATGTGCAGTGACATCGATTGTGATAACACAACACCCTTAGAGAAATGTAGAAGAAAAGTCGGCTACCCTCCGAATAACGGTCCCAGATTATGGAGGCTGAAAATATACCCTTACAGGGCCTCAGTGACATGTCAGTACCAGAAGGTTTTAAAGGACATGTCAAAGTGAAAAAATAATTGTGATGACAAAATTTAAAAATCCATGACTTCCAAAGTGACAACAAGAAATACTGGTAGTAACTACAGGAAAAGCAAGATTTCTCAAATATGCTCTGATCAAATGTTAGACGTAAGAGAACACATTATGATATAGGGAAAAATCAAGGTGTAGAGTCATTCACATATCTGGCGTTGCTTAAGGCTTAGGTGAGATACATTTACCTGAGAGTTGGACACAAAATGTAAAAAATGTGTCCACTCTTTGTGCAAAAATTTAATAAATGACAGGAAGTGAAATGTATGAGAACACTTAAGATCAACATTTAGAGTAAATATAAGAATGAACCTAGTGAAAGAAACAGAAGAATTAATCACATGCAGGAAAAAAAAAGTCTTGCAAACGTAACAAGTAATATCGAGCCATCTTTGGCCATCTTCGTAGGTTTGAAATTACTTAAAATTCTTTGATTCCAATGTCAAATGAGTTCTGTTACATGTAGCAGAAACATGGATAACAACCTAATAATTACTAAAAAACTACAAAAATGTATTAACTGGTGCCTCCTAGAAGGAATTGTATGATAGAATCGCTAATTCTGAGCTTTGGGACAGAACTAAACAAGTTCCAGCAGACAAAAGGGTAAAGAAAAGACTGACATTGGATAAGACACACATTGGAAAAACCCTGAGAACAGAACGAGAATGTCTCTGCACTGGAACCCACAGGGGAAAATAAATAAAGGCAGACCAAAAACCACACAGAAAAGGGATCTTCAGGCTGATGTTAAAAGGATGGGAACGACAAGGGGTAAACTACATGCAATAGCGAAGGATAGAACAACCTGGCATGGGCTGGTTAAGGACCTATGCTTTTCCAAGAAGAGAGGCATCAAGTGGCAATGAATGGAACAACCTGCCATGAGCTGGTTAAGGACCTATGCTTTTCCAAGAAGAGAGGCATCAAGTGGCAATGAATGGAACAACCTGCCATGAGCTGGTTAAGGACCTATGCTTTTCCAAGAAGAGAGGCATCAAGTGGCAATGAATGGAACAATCTGGCATGAGTTGGTTAAGGACCTATGCTTTTCCAAGAAGAGAGGCATCAGGTGGCAATGAATGAAACAACCTGCCATGAGCTGGTTAAGGACCTATGCTTTTCCAAGAAGAGAGGCATCAAGTGGCAATGAATGGAACAACCTGCCATGAGCTGGTTAAGGACCTATGCTTTTCCAAGAAGAGAGGCATCAAGTGGCAATGAATGGAACAATCTGGCATGAGTTGGTTAAGGACCTATGCTTTTCCAAGAAGAGAGGCATCAAGTGGCAATGAATGGAACAATCTGGCATGAGCTGGTTAAGGACCTATGCTTTTCCAAGAAGAGAGGCATCAGGTGGCAATGAATGGAACAATCTGGCATGGGCTGTACTACTCTGGAGATAACTGGAAGAAGAAATAGTCTCCTTGAAAGGGGACAAAGAAAAAGACAAGAGTACGAACGAACAAACAAAACCAACATTATTTTTTGTATTTCTCAAGACTCATAAACAGTGTATGCAGGCCCACGATCTATAAAGCAGGTTATGTTCACATAGCAAACTCGGAAACAGACCTACCTCCTTCCGAAGTCTCCTGATGTTCAGAAAGACACCATGTCCAGTTTTCTCAAAGTACTGTTGCAGGTACCTTTTCCCAAGACCAAGAAAGGTGTTCATACAAATGTACAGTCCATCAGGGCTCTCCTGAATATTTAAAAAAAAAAAAAAAGGATATGTGCAGTAGCTGTTGAGAACAGAAGCATTTTTATATTTATTTTTATAAGCTCAAAAATTTAAACTATTGCTCGAGAGTGGCATTTTAAAAAGTGGAAATCTCATAAATGCCGCTTACCCAGTATTTTTCCTAGGGCATCTCAGTGAGAAGCCTAGTTAATGACGCTGGGTTGTATTTGTGCCAGTGCAGTGCCCAGGAGGCCAGGATATGAATACATTATTTGAAATAGTATATGGGGTTGGGGGGGGGGGGGGGGGGGGGGGTGTGGTCTGAGAAAAAATAGCCAGTACAACTATTAAGAAATCACAGACACAATGGGGAATTTGAGGTGTGCCGTGAAGAGAGTGGTGTTCAGTGAAAACTTTTTTCGGCTCTCCTTTAAATAACGATCGCTAGCTGGAAAGCCGACGGTCGCTTAGTGGGAGTTCCCTTCCTTGGCTGCATTGCAAATACGGAGCGGACAAGTCACGCATCAGGGCTGCCAATGCTTGGTTGTTTCCCCCAGATCTGGGTGTTTATTTGACGCCACGGGGAAATCTGTTTTTTTTTAAAGTAAATATATCCATATATAAAAGTGCTATTAGTTGCCATGGATGTGACTCCTGCAGATCGATATGCTGTAATGACCGATAAATTTGCATGGTTAGGGGTAGGGCTAACCCTAACTCAAACTATATTAAATAATATAATGTGAACTTACAAAAACAATGGACTAGTCCCCTAACACCCCCATTTAAAGTATTAGTAACCTGCAATAGATTGTGCCATTTTCGGTTTCGCCTAATTTTTTTCTATGTGTTTTAAATTTGCAATCACCCTTTATTTCTTTGTTCTTGTGTGTTTCTGTATAATTACAATAGAAACATGACAAAATGTGGAATATTGATAAGTTAAAGTACAGCAATCATATACTATCATAATCATCATTTTAATCATAGTCTGTTTTTGTTTTCTGGGGATATGCAATAGCACCGTTTTAAGATTTTTTTTTTTTTTATCTTTGATGCGCTTCTGCAATAAATAGTAACAGACACTTTGTGGTGAGTATCACTCAGTATCGGCACTTTGTTAAATACAATTATTTGCTGTCAGTATTAGCATCTTTTTTTTTTTTTAGAAAAAGATCGCTCCATAATTATAATTGTGATTTGTTGTTGTTGTTTATACTATTATAGTTTAGTATACTATTATAGTAATAATCAATAATAGTTAATAGTAACTATACTATATCTCACTCTGAGCTGGTTCGCAGTCAGTCAGTAGTCTGACTACTACTAGTCAGAATAAAAGAAATAAGATTCAGATGTATACTTTCATACAAGAAAGCTTTGTGTTCAACCAGCTTATGCTCGAACAAGAGGAAACTTACGGGATTATCAAAAGAAAAGGCGCATTCGTCTTTATAGACTTTCTCGCCACCTAGAGGCGATTTCACCTGGCGTTTCTTCAACTCTTCTATAGCCTCCATCTCGGCAGCCATGATTAGCAGAAATGGGGAAAGTTGCTGCGAGTTGTCGTTCTTGGCTGCTTCAAAAAACCGGAGGGAAGTTCGTCTTCAGATTCACCATCATCATCATAAACACCACTGCTTTTTTTAAGAAGCATGCCGTAAGAGGCAACTAAGTAATGATTTGCTAGGTAGAAATAGAGATATATCGCAGCTAGCCTAAACAGCAATACAACATGTCAATATCCCGTTTAACTGCTAATGCTGAAGAATTAGATAGTTTTCGTTGTATGTAGACATTATCTGCATTTTTCAATTTCATGTTTTATTATGGTTTTGACTACAGATATTATGAGAAGTACTTAATACAGCCACTTTATGTCTCTAACTTAACGTCGAAACAGATTTATCTAATTGTTTTGCCTTTCACAGCTTTTACTGTGTGTCAGAGCTTCAACTTGCCAGACATAAGTAGTTTCCTTCAGAGAATTTACATATTCTTGTTTGCTGTTGCAATATTGTCCTTTCGTGCCAAATGCTGATGACGGTTTTCTGTCCGCAACATTCACTAGTCATTTGTGATTGTGACGAAATGAAGCTGACTAATTCTACTTTTCGTTTGGTTGGATATCTTTTTATTTAAAAAAAAAAACTACAACCTTGTATGTGACTAGATACCTCAACGAAAAAAATAGAAGAAACGAACACAAATAAAATCTAACGTTTCGACTAAGGTCTTCATCAACGGAACACTAAATACACCACACACAAAATCCGGACAGGACAACACAGCATGTAAATGACAGGACAATAGAGCTTGTAACCTACCAAGTGTTTTTTTTTTTTTTTTTTTTTTTTCAAGACATATTAGCTACTCTTTTTATCTCTCTAAGGTATTCTCATCATTTGTCTATATATCTACACCACTTCCGAATAATGTTTCACTAATTGCCCAACTGTCATTGATTCACTTCCGTATATCAAGACAGGATTTATATGGCTCTTGAGATTTGTCTTTCTCGTCTTAATTGACAAAGAAAGATTGCATAGAATGTTTTTTTTTTTTTTAAATTGAAAAATGCTGTCTTTTCTAAAGTTCTTCTACATTTAACTTCTTTAATAATCTTCCATTGTGGGTTTTTTCTTTCCAAAAAATGAATAGATGCTGTCTGAAAACAGATAGCCTCGCGTACAACGTCACTACATCCAGTGTGAGAATGGAGGTGGAGGCAGTAACAGAGAACCTCGCGTACAACGTCACTACATCCAGTGTGAGAATGGAGGTGGAGGCAGTAACAGAGAGCCTTGCGTACAACGTCACTACATCTAGTATGAGAATGGAGGTGGAGGCAGTAACAGAGAGCCTCGCGTACAACGTCACTACATCTAGTGTGAGAATGGAGGTGGAGGCAGTCACGGTAGCTTTCCGATAGCTTGAGAGCTGCGCATTGCAACATGTAATAATAAGGAACTCACAAAGCAGGCTTGGGAAAACTGAAACTGCTTCCTTCGTGCAGAATGGCTTGCATCACTTGATGAGACTTAGATAAGGAGCATATCAAGACTTTAGGGTCCAGGATATTCAAGTGTGTGGGGTAACGAGCAGTCTGATAGATAGGCAGCTGCTGCGCCTCTGGGCAGTGAGCTACTTGTTCGTAAAGCGGACGAGTTGAAGGTTTTTTGGGATCAGATGGACAGTGCAATAGAACAGACGGGGAATCCATAGACTGACAGACTGATTAAAGACTAATTAATTCCCCATTGAAGGGTAAACAGAGATGGATCTTTATACAGGTTGCCAGTGATACCATTAGCATGTCGATCATTCGTTGTCTACTGAAGAAGGAGACGAAACACTTGTGGGAATGTCCCGAGTGCAGGGGTGTCCTTTTTAAAAAAAAATTGATTTATTCATTCTCACATCGTCCATTTGCTCTTAGAGTACACAATAACTGAAACTTGTCAGCCTGCTTAAGGATTGCCCCTTTAACAATTATGCTGCATTTTGGAAGGTCCATTTCCTTTGCATTTATCATTTCTCCTGGGTATTCTGGCAGATACTTGTCGCGCAAAGAAAATGCAAGATGATTACTACTGGCACCACTGGTATTGGAGCTTTGAGATGGCTGCTGAAGATGGGGACGGAATGCTTGTGGGGATGCCCCGAGTGCTGTGATGTCGGTTCTCTAATTAGCTCAACTCCTCCTTGCTGTTCAAACTTCTTCTTCTTTACGTTTGGTTTCCTAAGCTCAAATCAAACCATCAGATGGGTTGCCTCTATAACTCACATGTCAGCAGCAGGTCCTTCATGGTTCCCCATAGCTTGCTCTGCACACTTTGCTCTTGGGGCCAGGTTTATTTTCCAAGTTGTAGGTAGAGTGGGCCGGTTTGCAGAATGTGCTAAGGTGTTTGTGGTTCTGTTTGACAGGCACACTGTGGGGACTGTACAGCCTTTATTTTATGCATATGGTAGTTGAGCCTGCAGTGTACTGTTCGTAGAAGGAGAATTGTTGTATGTTGCTTTCTATTGAGTCTACTAAGAGGGTTTTGTGGATGTTTACTGTAAGTTTGTTCTCTCCACAATTCCTTGTATTTTTCTTTGACATGTATTCTGATTTCTGGTAATGACAATAATGGGCGTGTTGTTTCTCTTTTGTTCCATTTTTGTGCAAGTCTGTCTGATGACTCATTTCCTGGAACTTCCCTGTGAGCCGGGATGCACTGGGGATCGATTTGATTGTTTTCTGTGAGTCTGTTTAGCTGGCGGGTCAGTCTTCTCTCCATGTTGTTTCTGAATACCTCTGAGTCGCCTGAAAGACTGACATGCAGTTTGTGTGTGTGTGTGTGTGTGTGTGCTGTTTTTTGTTTTTATTTTTCTGTCTTGAAACACTTTGGCTGAATCAATAATTGCTTGCTGCTCTGCTTTGAAGTTTGTTGAGAGTCTTCCGGAAACGCATGAAGTTTCTGCTGTGGTCCCATCTTGTAACATGATGACCGATCCTGCTCCTCTGTTTGTTTTTTCTTCAGTGATCCATTTCTTAACTGTATTTATAGGTTCCTTCATTCTTATTTTAGTTGTTCCTATATGTTCAGAAGCGGCGTCAGTGGCTAAGGCGTTGCGAGTCTGACTCGTAATCCGACGTACCGCGATCGAAACCTGCGTGGGCTGCGTGGATTGTTATCGTGGTCTGGGACGTCGCAGGTCGACCCAGCCTCAAATGTGTACCAGGATGGGCTGTCCTAGGAAACTAAAGACGACCGGCGTAATGCTGACCACATTACCCACCGAGTGCCGATTGGTCTGTAAAAATAGGGGTGCTCTTCCCATATGCCCGATGCGCCTAAGCGCGTGTAAAGGGATCTTTACTTTACCTTCTTATATGTTCAGAAAGAACTACAGAAAATGATAAACGTGCTGTTAGAAAGTGGAAGAATGGGCCTCAGTTTGAATAATGGTAAGACATAAGTAATGGTGGTATCAAAGAAACTAATTATTCCTAAATGTGTAATAAAAGTCGATGGTTTTATTTTAGGACAAGTACAGAAATTTAAGTATCTGGGCACATGGCATCAGATTGAAGATGCATAACTAAGATAAGACACAGAATAGGACAGGAAAAAAACTGCAATTAAAAAATGAAGAATATCTTGTGCAATATATATCCTTGTCATTGAGAGTTAGAAAAAGAATTCTTGCTTGCTACAAACATCCAGTTTTAACACATGGCTGTGAATCCTGGACAATCGGTAGGCAGGCCAAACAATTTCTTGTGGCCTTATAGATGTGGTTTTACAGAAGAATGCTTAGAATACTTTAGACAGCCAAAAAGAGCAACCAAGAGGTTTTGAAAGAGGCGGAAGCCCGAAGACAACTTATCACAGACATCAGAAGGAGACAGTCATCATTTTTCGTCCATGTTATGAGAAGAGGGAAAATAAAACATGTTGTCACTACTGGAAAGATCTGTGGAAGGAGGGATAGAGGAAGACAACGACAGAAGATTCTTGACAGTTTTGTTGCATTGCATAGACGTGTGTCGGCACACGAACTGATACATGCTGCAGGAGATCGTGGATTATGGAGAGACAGATCGCCCACGCCAGTCGGCAAGGCACCTGATGACGATGATAAGTTCAGCTCCCCCTTGATGTTGAAACTAAGATCCCTGTTTTGGAATTTTCTTACAATTTTATACGTCATCACTACAATAAAACGTCATTATGTGACAAACGTCATAAATCAAACTGTACAATGTCAGAGTAAAAATGTCACGGATTCGTTTAACGCTTATAATTCTGACCATTTGTGTCTGCAGAAGCTATCAGTTACATGCGAAAATGAATGGTAAACAGTTAAGCATTGAATTTTGTTAAGGGGCCGCGTTAGCGCAGTTGATAAGAAGCTCGCTTTCAAATCCAGCTGCGACTCGCTGCAGCCCAAGGCCGGTGTTCGAAACCGGCCGTCTTCCGGGGTTCACCCAGCCTCTAGGAAAAGGGTACCAGAGTAATACTAAAATGGAGGAACGTCGCTGTAGCTACAGAGTTACGTGCGAACGGCGACACAGGCGGACAATTCTTATCAGCTGTCCGTACTGGTGGCAGACTTATTACTGTCTATTATGATAATATTGATAATAATTATCTAGCCTTATTATGAATCGGTCATGTTGTAAGGAAGTACATCATCATGAACGGTCAACATAAAACATTTTATCAGTGATGATATCATCATCATAAACCACCTCTGCCGTTAAGCGACGTAGGGAGGAGTAATTTGCGATCCAGTGGCCGTTGGCTGCCACTGGCTATTGTCATGCCGTGAAGGCGTGGAGTGTCTTTAATGTTGTCGATTCCCTTTTCTGCAGTCGTCCTCTTGCTTTTGTTGTTTATCTTTTGAGATGTAGTGTTTGTGATGGTATTTGATCTTGCTGCATTCTAACGAGATTGCCAAACCACTCGATTTGCAGTTTCTCGTGTTTCTCGATGAATCTAGTATGAGGTGTCGTTCCCACAATTTGTCAGATAGTTTAATTATTCACTCGATCTCGGATGGTTATGTTGGCTGCTTTTCTCAGGCATCTCATCTCGCAGGTGGTGATTTTGCGTATTTAGGCTTTCAATAGCGTCCATGTTTGGCACTGGTAGCTTAATGTTGGAATGAATATGCTGTTTATAATATGTCTCTTTGCACTCATAGTTGTGCTTGGATGTCTTAATAATAGTCACAGTTGGTATATAAGTACACTTGATTTCTGATACAGTGGAACCTCGCTTAACGAGCATAATTCGTTCCTCAAATCATACTCGTTAAGCGAAACACTCGTTATGCGAAACAATTTTTCTCATATAAATTAAAGTAAAATACGATAGTGCGTTCCATTTCGAAAAAAATACTCACAAAATGCTATCTATAGCGTTTATTCAAAGAAAAGTATATACATATTTTTAAGTAGAGTGAATCATCTTCATCTTTTCTTCAATTACAATTGTATCAGTCTAGATGATAACAATTACTATGATTGTAGCAGTGTAGATGGTAACAATTACTACGATTGTATCAGTGTAGATAGTAACAATTACTATGATTGTATCAGTGTAGATGGTAACAATTACTATGCTTGTATCAGTGTAGATGGTAACAATTACTATGATTGTATCAGTGTAGATAGTAACAATTACTATGATTGTATCAGTGTAGATGGTAACAATTACTATGCTTGTATCAGTGTAGATAGTAACAATTACTATGATTGTATCAGTGTAGATGGTAACAATTACTATGATTGTATCAGTGTAGATGGTAACAATTACTATGATTGTATCAGTGTAGATAGTAACAATTACTATGATTGTATCAGTGTAGATGGTAACAATTACTATGCTTGTATCAGTGTAGATGGTAACAATTACTATGATTGTATCAGTGTAGATAGTAACAATTACTATGATTGTATCAGTGTAGATAGTAACAATTACTATGATTGTATCAGTGCAGATGGTAACAATTACTATGATTGTATCAGTGTAGATAGTAACAATTACTATGATTGTATCAGTGTAGATAGTAACAATTACTATGATCGTATCAGTGTAGATAGTAACAATTACTATGATTGTATCAGTGTAGATGGTAACAATTACTATGATTGTATCAGTGTAGAAGGTAACAATTACTATGATTGTATCAGTGTAGATAGTAACAATTACTAAGATTGTATCAGTGCAGATGGTAACAATTACTATGATTGTATCAGTGTAGATAGTAACAATTACTATGATTGTATCAGTGTAGATAGTAACAATTACTATGATTGTATCAGTGTAGATGGTAACAATAACTATGATTGTATCAGTGTAGATGGTAACAATTACTATGATTGTATCAGTGTAGATAGTAACAATTACTATGATTGTATCAGTGTAGATAATAACAATTACTACGATTGTATCAGTGTAGATAGTAACAATTACCATGATTGTATCAGTGTAGCAGTAACGAATAATTATTATCGACAGAAGCGGGCTTGTGCAGCGACACGACTGTTTCAGTCAATGGCGGGAAAATTCGCATACAATACAGTAAACAGTTTAGACTGCAGTGCGATGAGGGTTACGTGTCGCCCTGGTCCAGTCCCAACCAGTCTTACATCTACCAATGTGAAAACGGAGTACTGAAAAGGAAGATACCCGAAGGATGTGTAGGTATGTTGTTTCTGCAGACGTAATTTGGAAGCAGTTAGAAAAGTATGCTGTTTTAAAGATAGACTGTATTATAGTCGGTCCCAGGAGCAGTCATCGTAATGTAGCTGGTCTTCTGCAGAACATCGCTCTCATCGCGGTCTGCCTGAAAGAAACTCCGTCTCTCGCCAGCTATCCCACCTCATGTACTTTCATACTCAAGGAGTCACTTATATCCTGTGCCCATCTTCGTGTCAGTTGGCCCCTGCCCCTCCTTCCTGGTACCATGCCTTCTGCTATAGATCTTTCCAATCCGTCGTGGCTCTTGCTATGACCAAAATATTTCAGCTTTCTAGACAGGATGCGGTTTATTAGCCAATCTTCCTTGATGTTCAGATCTTTTAAGATGTCAGTATTTCTTCTCTTCTTGTCCAAGATATTCTAAGAATATCTTTCTATAGCATTTCAGCTCAAAGGCCCCTATTCTCTTACTTAAGGGCTGGGAGATAGTCCACGACTCACATCCGTATGTAGCCACAGGGAAGATGCATGCTCTCAAAATTCAAATTTTTATATCCTTGCTGGTGCTTAACCATAGACTTTTAAGGATGTTCAATCTTTGCATTGATTGCTATGGCCATCCTCCTTTTAATTTATGACGACCAGTCTCCATTGCTGTTTATTTCCAGGAGCAGTGCCCAGCTTTACAAATCTACAATTCAGTAGCCATTCGATGTAGGTTGTTCAGATCTGCCATGCAATCTTTTAATAAATAAGCATGTCCTTCTAAGACATTTTTTGTAAAATATAAACAAGCATCTAGTTTTTAATTTTGCTTTAGTTGCAGTGGGAGTCGCGGTGGCGAAGCGGCTAGAAGCTGACCTCAGATCGGAAGCTTGTGGGCTCGTTCCCTGGCGGGGACGGACTTGTTTTTTTTTTTTTTTTTCAAAAACACCTTGGCTCCAAGGTTGATCCAGCCTGGAGTGGGTATCGGGTGCAGTCCCGGGAAGTAAAGGCGGCCGGCATGATGCTGACCACATCACCAATTTTGTGCTGATTGGTCAATAAAAAAAAGGTCTAGCCCTTTATGCCATATACGCCTTAAGGCGTGGAAAATGGTCCTTTACAAACTTTATTTGCCGTATATGGAAAAACATTAACCAATTGAAAGCCATCAATCAGCATGCTTACAGTTAAGTGAGTAACGGGAACATTTCAAAAGATCAGACTGTACGTGTTTTATAAGTGTTTCACTCCCAGCTTAAGCTTTCCCGTGAGTTTTGGATTTTACATTGTTTGCGGGATAGGCTATCAGAATAACGCCGCACGTGGGAAAAAAATTTCCAAATAATCTCAGTGCGTGTGTCAATTACTATATTTTACATTTTTAGGAAAATTCGCTGCTTCAAGAAAACAGCAACATCTGTGGAACTGTAAATGATAAAAACGTGAGTAAATAGGCAATCTAAGGACACATACAAGTCGTGTTCAATCCTACAGGAATTTCCATGTTTTCGTGAGGTCGCGACTTTGAAAACTTACTATAGACAGAATGAACGAATATACTTTGTTTAAAAAGGAGTAAGAACTGGGCAAAAAGGTCCATTAAATACTTTGCCGTATCGATTAAATAGGTAGATAGAGCTTTGTTTCTGTTTTCTAAGGCTAGTGCCCTAGGAAGGGACAAGAAGTTAGATGTAGTTTTCTGTCTTTCCTTTGTTGAGTAGCTCGTGTTAATTTCAAATTACGTTTCTATAGTGTCTCTTTTACTCCCTCCATCCATTTCTTTCGTGGTCGACCTCTTGCCATTTAGCTAGCGGTTCTCGTGTTGCACGCTCTAGCTGCTGGCTGATTGCGTTCTATTCTGACAAGATGACCAAATCATTTGATTCTTTGATGTTCTGTGTTGTAGATAGATAGACTTGCTAAAACCAGACAGTTAGAGGGCAGAGAGATAACCGGATAGACAAAGGCAGACAGACAGAAAGACGGACAGGCAAATGAACAGATGCACATACAGATATACAGAAGATAGACAGACAGACGGTCGGACAGATTAATTGATTGACTGACTGATTGTTGATTTATTCATAGATAGATTTAGTTGTGCGGGTGAGTGAACGGAAGTGAATGGGATTTATGACCGGATAGAGAGAGGGGAGAGCGAGTTGAAGAAACATAAGGGGAGGAGAGAGAGAAAAGTGCATGTGTGTGAAAGAGAGAGAGAGAGAGAGAGAGAGAGAGACAGAGACAAAGACAGAGAGAGACAGAGACAGACAGAGACACAGAGAGAGAATGTGATCTATTTGATTTACTGTTTTGTAATCTGACGATGACCATTCTGCTTTACATATTCTGCGACACATCCCATAATTTAGATTTCACCCTGATCTGCCTTCCTCTCCTTTGACCCAGTTTTTTATTTACTTCCGCTTGTCACTTTTTCCATGTCAACAACTTTGAAAATCTAGGCTCCATAATAAACAGAAATGGAATGTTAAACAAAAAAGTCAAAATGAAGATGGCGATAGCAATACAAAGATTAAACAACATCAGTCTACGGTTGAACGAGAGCACGGACATCAACATGTTGAGAGCATGAATCTTCCCTGTAAGAGGGACGTGAGTCGTGTATTATCTCGCAGTCCGTAAGGAGAGAATGTGGGCTTTTTGAGCTGAAATATTAAAGAAAGATGATCAAAATACCATGGAAAAATAAGAAAGGAAATACTTCTTCTTTCTTTTGTCAATATTTGCTTATGTATCTAGGCGCCGGAGTCCATCGGCCAGGACGCACTCAGTCGCTTGATACACCGAGATGTTACGCAGTCGCAAGGTGTCAATGACTTCTTCAATCCATAATCTTCTCGGTCTTCCACTGCCTCTCGATGTTTCGATTTTCAGGTTGTACGCTTTTGCTGCTGGCATCGTTGGTTTCATTCTCAAACCATTTCATTCTTTGCTTCTCAATAAATTTGACGATGGGTGTTGTTCCAACAGTTCTTGCGATCACGTCGTTTCTCACTCGATCTCTTCTGGTTTTATTTCACAGCCATAAGGAAATACTGAATTCCTTTAAAAAAAAAAAAAGCATCTTTTCTCAAAAGTTGAAATATTTTAGCCATATCAAGCGGCACGGGGGATTGGAGGTGGGAAGGGGGAGGGTGGGAGGTTAGCAGAAGGCATGGTACCAGGAATGATGTGCAGTAGCTAAGGATATATGATATAAGTGACTCCTTGGATGTAATGGTGCACGAGAAGGAAGAGCTGGCAAGATAAGTTTATTTTTCTTCAGGCAGATTGAGATAACAGCGACATTCTGCAAAGAATTTGCCATATAAAAATTACGGTCACTCCTTCAGCCTTCGAATGTTTGTTCTTGTAATCATCTCGGTTCTCAAAATGGTCTCAGTCTACAATAACCATAAAAAAAAATAGTTCACGGAAGGCAAGGAGACTGACTGTCATGATAGGAAACACGTCACACATCCTATGCCAGTTTGTCAACAAATACATTTTCTTGCACTGGCGTTGTTTTTTCCCCCCAAAACAAACACTTTATGCTGAGTACTGTCACTTTTTATTAGACACTTTGTGCTGAGTACTGTCACCATTTATTAGACACTTTGTGCTGAGTACTGTCACTTTTTATTAGACACTTTGTGCTGAGTACTGTCACTTTTTATTAGACACTTTGTGCTGAGTACTGTCACCATTTATTAGACACTTTGTGCTGAGTACTGTCACCATTTATTAGACACTTTGTGCTGAGTACTGTCACCATTTATTAGACAGTTTGTGCTGAGTACTGTCACTTTTTATTAGACACTTTGTGCTGAGTACGGCACCATTAGTCGCAGAAAACAAGCCCTGGCTTGCATATATACGCAAGTTACCTGTCGGTATGGGAGTCCCTGTGACGGAGCGGCTAGACACTAGCCGCGGATGGGAGGGTCGTGGGTTCGCTCCCTGACGGAGCCCTACTTTTTTCAAAAATGACCTTGTTCGACCCAGCATTGAGTGGGTACCAGGGTCAGTTCCGGGAAGTAGAGGCGGCCGGCGTGATCCTGACCCCATCACCCATCTTGTGCCGATTGGTCTACAAAAATATAGGTCTAGCCCTATGTGTCCTATCCGCCTAAAGGCGTGGGAAAAGGGTCCTTAACTTTACTTACCTAGGTATGAAACCTGTAATTAATTTAATTGTTTTCTATTTACATACATGTTTGTGTAGATCCTATATACTTAATAATACAATAATTCATGCGCTTGTGGTTTTCAAGTGAAGCGACTTGCATATCGAAAGATGAGATTCCAGATATTGCTGGCTAAAACAGAGAAAACGGCGGAACTTTGCGGAAATGCACAGAAACAAGCAGAGCTGTCAAAACGTTACAATGAGACTGTGGATAAGTCTGCACAGGGTCTTCAAAACAAACTCTACATTACAAACTGTTCAGTGCCCATAAATCCACAAGATTATGTGGTAAGTTAGCGAATTCGAGCGTAGGCTAGCAGTGGCGAGACGTGATCAGTTCGCATGTGTATGCCGTTTAGACGAAATTAAGCTAGCTGGGAACGATTACACTGAAAAGGATATCACGTGATATTTTCCTTCTCGTCGCTTCGCTGTTAAGAGTATGCACGAGCAGCTAGAATAGTAGTACTAACAACTGGTAGCTCTCACACATTACAGTTTCTGTATGAGTGGAATAAGCATACAACGAGCATTCTTTGTGTTTTATTAATTCTTTGAAAAGCTTCACGTGCTCCGCGAGTCGTTGACCAAGTGGCGTCTTAACAATAAATAGTAACAGTAATGATAAATAGTAGAGAAACGCATTTTTTGTTTCTTCTGTTGCAGTAGAAAGTGTAAGCGTTGATTACAGACGATACTTGCACGATTCGCCACTGTTGGTTGGTTTGTTTGTTCGCCGGCCGGCTGGCTGCCCGGTTGGTTGATTGGTCAGTCGGTTGAGAGGTCGAACGGTTGTTGATTGTTTGGTTGGTTGGTTAGTCGGCGGTCGGTTGGTTAGCTGGTTGGCTGATTGGTTAGTTGAATGGTTGGTTAGCTATGTTGTTGGTGTGTCGGTTAGCTGTTTGCTCAGTGGCTGGTTGATCGATATGGGTTCAGTAAGTCAATCGGCTGGCTGGTCGGTCGGTCAGCTGGTTGGTTACTTGGTAAAACACAGTAAGAAATCTTCGCCGCTGAGGTAAACGCAAGAGGACTCGTCTCCACTTCCACAAACATGTACCAAAGCACCTGGGCTTGCGAGGAAATAAACGAAAACGGGGACTAAAACAGCTGGGCGAAGCTGCCGAAAGAGCTTCGAGCTGGCTTTGGAAGCAACGGAACGTCGTGGTGGATTGGCCTCGGTAGACTGGTTGTTGTACTCTTGTATAACCCTATAATATGGGTGTACAGAGCACTTATTATATTAGTTCATAAAATGTCTATCTTTTCGCATCGATACTCCTTAGTATCTATAAACAACCAAGTATGTAGGTCTAAGGTGCCTACTTCAATATGCGGCTGGATCTCTCCTTGATGAATTGATGCAACTATTTGCAGTCCTGCATAATATAACGACTGGCACACTTGGCACATGAACATCAAATACAATTGTGACTATTCTGACAAGTCAACAATAACGCTTGTGACAGGCCACATAAACTTTAGTGTCATTCACATTACACGTCACAAGATGATGATGATTATTTAAGGTACGATAATAAGTCACTATTATCTACTCAGACGACTTAACGATTACAATCTTCACTCAATGGACTCCTGCCTTTCAGAACTAAACAGACATCACATTGTCTCCCGCAAACAGCGGCAAATCAAAAACCTTACAAAGAGAGAACGTTTCTATAATTTTCCTTATACATAGAGAATAGCTAACACGTCGTTTCTGCTAACCGGCGGCAAACATACATCCGACTTTGACGCTAGCAAAATCTCAACTGACTGTCCCTTTGAATTCTATCCCCAGAATGCAATTAAGTCATATAATGACCTTCGCCTAGGTAACGACTCGTGGCCGCCATTTGACCTTTACCTGTGCTTTTCCTGCTAACTGACATTTTAACTCTCGGCCAAATAAGACTACAACACTGGTCCAAGCCACTAGTGGAAAAGAATTTTTATCCTTATAAAGCCAGAGTAACTGATAAAAGTCTAATTTGCGACAACACCAGATCTCACAATACCTATTGCAAAGTCACCATATCCTCTTGTCACTGTCCGAGAAGCTGATTAAGTACAGAAGGGGAAGATCGAGGCCTGGAGTCATGACCCAGGTCGACCTACCTTCCGAGACTGACAAGGAAGTAATAAGCCGAAACAATCGTCGACGATGGATCTTTCTCCTGATGATCAATGGGCCTCTGTGGTATATGCTCCTTTGTGGAGTTCTTCTTATTCTGGTCGGCTGGTTAGTAATTGGTGGGCTTAATGCGTGGTCGGTCAGTTAACTGATTGGTCGATCGAAGGGTTGGTTGAAGGGCTGGTCCATTAGCTGAGCAACTGATACAACAGTATATGCCTTCCCAACAGGGATTACCTACCTGCAACATATAACAATAGGCGCTGTAGTGGTGTAGCGGCTAGATATTCGTCTGCGGATCCGAAAGTCGTGTATTCAGGTCCTGACAGAGCCAGATTTTTTGTTCTCCAAGAAAGACCCTGGCTGTCAAGTCGTTTCAGCCTTATATGGGTATTAGGTAAAAGTCCTGGGAGGTAAAGGCGGTCGGTGTGATGTTGACATCCCTCACCGAGTGCTGATTAGTCTACAAAATATAAGTCTATCCCTATTTGCCTAATACGATTGAAGGCGTGGAAAAGGGGCTTCTACTTGTTACTAACACACTGGTAGTCTAGTAGTCCCAGTTTAAGCTTCATAGCAAACGGGTCGCCCCAACTTTGCTCCGCTCCTGTGCCAACGAAAAACACCCAGAATGTTTATCACAGTCCCTTGTGGAAAGATTGACAGACTGCTGTCTCAGCATATCTAGCATACACTCGCATTAAAGCATACGATAGCCATCCGAAGTGCTAACACAAACAGTCCAACATTAGAAATGCAATTCATCATTGATGATAGCAGAACTTGTCGCCAACAGCTCAGCAGTTGTCCACGCGATCAATTTTAACCACATACGGGCACCGCCAACATTGCACGACAGGCATCACGCCATTTTCTGAATCTACAATTCACACCACCACGTTGGTCACAGTCGAAAATACATTCCGAATTCTATCCGCAGCTCACAGGGTCACGCCATGCATTCAACTCAGAAGCTGGGCGACGAAACTATATCCAGTCTACGACACACAATAATGGTCTCTCGGTAGAGGGTTGACCTATATGCAGCATACATTAAAGTGTGCTCTTCTATTGACAGATTATAGTGTTTGTAACAGACAATAATATGTGCTCTTCCAACAGCGGATTTACCTTATATAACATACAATAATATTTTCTTTCCTAACAGCAGTTTTTCCTTACATAAAGTTAGTTGCGTATCCTTTACAGGACGTTGCAGAACCAACCCCGGCATTTTTTTTGGCTGTTGTGGTTTTTCTAGGCAAATTTACGTCTAGTAGTTTGCCATTGAAAACTGGACGGTCGGCTTCTTAATACCCCTGTCAAATCCAACGCAAGACGCAAGGTCAGCAGCTGGGATCGAACCCTGCACCCTGGTATTACGAAGCTTGTTCGCAACGCCCAAGCAACAGATGCGGACATACAATATATGACATAAATAATACACGTTTACCCTTAAGCAGATTTACCTTATATAACATACAGTAATATATGCTCTCCGAAAAGCAGATATGCCTTATATAACTAATAACAATATCGGCTCTCTCAGCAACATACTGTAACACACAATAATGTGTGCTTTCCCAAAAGCGGATTTACCTTTCATAACTTAAAATAATATGTGCTTTACCCGATAGCGGATTTATGTGTATGTAATATACCATAATATGTGCTCTCCCGACAGCGGATGTATGTGTATGTAACATGCAATAATATGTGCTCTCCCGATAGCGGATTTATGTTTATGTAACACGCAATAATATGTGCTCTCCCGATAGCGAATTTAAATGTATGTAAAATACAATAATATGTGCTCTCCCAATAGCGGATTTATATGTATTTAACACACAATAATATGTGCTCTCCCGATAGCGGATTTACCTTTCATAACTTAAAATAATATGTGCTTTACCCGATAGCGGATTTATATGTATGTAACAAACAATAATATGTGCTCTCCCAATAGCGGATTTATATGTATGTAACACACAATAATATGTGCTCTCCCAATAGCTGATTTATGTGTATGTAACATACAATATTATGTGCTCTCCCTACAGCGGGTTGATGTTGTGGCCACCAAATTACTCAGGCGTAACGTGACCTCTGATGTGACCCCTGGGGGAACCGTCCATGTGATCGTGAAGGTCTTTAGACTGCTTGTGGACGTCATGGAAGACTTCGGTTCGTCACCACCATCATTATCACCACAATTATAATCATCATCATCATCATTATAACCATCACAATATCGCCTTCTTCATTTTCACAATCATCAACATCATCATCATCATCATCATCCTCATTAGCATCGTCATCATCATTATTATCATCATAAATATTATCATCATAAACATTATCATCACCAACATCATTATCACTATCACCATCATCACCAACTTCATTATCATCATTATCTTTATCATCATTACCACTATCACCAACATCACTACTACCGTCATCATTGACACCATCATTTTTACCATCACCGTCATCCCTATCGTCATTATTATCACCATCTTCATTATTACCACCATCATTATAACCACCATCATTGTCACCATCATCGTCATCCCCAACATCCTTATCACCATCATTGTCATCATTATAA